AAAAGGAGGTCATTGGCATCCATCAAGCTGGCAAAGTACCAAGGGGAGTTGTCACGGCAGCACCAGAAGAAAGTTTGATCGAGAGAATTCCAAGTCAGAGATTTGGTATTACGAAAAGTGATGGGCAATACGCGCGAGCCTACTGATGGAAAACTAGGTCCTAATTGGGAGGGCCCTTACAAGGTGATCTCTGTGGGGGGCACAGACGCATATCGTTTGCAAAATATGAATGGTGACGATGTAATCCGGCCATGGAATGTATCAAATTTAAAGAAATACTATTACTAAATCAGGTTTCAGTCTTCATGATGGCATTAACACGAGCTAAGCGCTCGGTCGTTAGGGGTACGACCCCGAGGGGTGTAAGACTCCACTCTTGAAACAACGCTCTCAAAATACTAACACGAGTCAAGCGCTCGGTCATTAGGGGTACGGCCCCGAGGGGTGTAAGACTCCACCCTTGGAGCAACGTTCTCAAAATACTAACATGAGTCAAGCGCTCGGTCGTTAGGGGTACGGTTTCGAGGGGTGTAAGACTCCACCCTTGGAGCAACGCTGTCAAAATACTAACACGAGCCAAGCGCTCGATCGTTAAGGGTACGGCCCCGAGGGGTGTAAGACTCCACCCTTGGAGCAACGCTCTCAAAATATTAATACGAGACGGTCCCGAGGGGTGTAAGACTCAGAAAATACGATTGACACAGGAAAATAGACACTTATAAAAAACTAAAGTTCATTAGGGAAAAAGGGCTTTGCGTCCCTAGGCATACAAACAGTAGCAAAATTCAGTAAAGAGCGACAAAGAGCTGCAAAAATACAGGACATAGAAGTGAGGCCACCAGCTACTGAGGCCCTCGGCTCCTTCCCCGACAAGGCCTCTACGCCGCCTTTGTAACTCGTATCCAGCCCCCAATATCTCATCTAGCTCAGTATTATGCATTCTAGGAATGATGAGGGGTGGAGATGACAGATAGTCTGTTGGCTCGGTAGGTGGCAAAGACAGAAGGGCAGGAGAAGGCTGGTCAGATTCATCGCTGAGTGTGATGGGTTCGCTTCCACCTTCAACCCCGACTGGCACTTCTACCTCCACATGATCATCGAGGCCGGATTGGACCCCTTCATTTAAGGCTTCATCATCAGCCTCCCTTCGAAAGCTGTGCATGGCGAACAAGTTCGAGCCTACCTCGACGTGGCAGGTGTGAAGGACGGCGTCCCAACCTTCTTTGAAAGCCTTCTTCTTGGCTTCCTCAAAAACGGGGACCATTTGGTCTTGAGTGGGCGCCCAGACCCTCTAACACTTCGATTGCAGCCTTTCTTGCTCGTCCATTTTTTCTGCTATCAAGGAGTCCATTGTGGCAGTGAGAGCGCTGATTATAAACTCGAATTCTTGCAGCTTGGCTTCAGAGGAAGACACTCGCAGCTCGTACTCCTCGTCTTTCTTTATCGTTGTAGCTTCTTTCGCCTTGGCCTTTTCTAGCTTGGCATGAATGACGTCTCACTGGCGGATGAGCTCGGCGATGTGCTTGGTTTAGTCGCCGAGGGTCCTCTCGACCTTCAGGATGTGGTCATCCTTGGCAGTTGCGGCTCGCTTGGCGTTTTTCGCCTCTTGCTTATATTCCCAAAAACGTTCAATGATGGCTCTCACTTGCTAGTTGCCCTGAAAAAGGAGGAATGTTAGGGAATGACCAAAAGGGGGCGAGGGCTACTTGGGAAAAAGGTTAAACTTACCACCAGGTTATTTTGGATAGTGCTCATTAGGAGCCGATTATCCGAGTAACCTTTGTACACGACCATATCGATGCCAAATTGAAGCGTCCCCGTGACGGCAAAGGCCACTTCGGGGGATTGGAGGATGGAGTCGGCTTCCAGAATAGGCCGACCGTTCCTGGTTTTGGCTCGAGCAACCCACTCGCCCAAGATAGTCGGGCCCAGGGCGGGGGCATCATGCCACTACTTTACATGGCGCTCCTCAGATTGTTCGGTGTCCCGAGCACGCCTGTCCTTCAGCCAATCTCCCAGAGCGTGGACTTGTTGAGATTGGGGCCTTTGCCTGGTCGGCACGACTGAATCCTTGGGTTACATATGCAACGACAGAGGCTGCCTCCGAGGAGAAATGGTCTGGGGGATGATGGGGGCAGTGTTAGAAGGCCCGACCAACCTGGCGAGCCTGGCTCTCCTTGCCGAGGTGGCAGCCTCCATTGTAGCTGCGGTGTTGGGTGACGGATTAAATATTTCGGGTGCAAGTGGCTCGGGAGCGTGATGCTGAGACTCTTCTTCGGAACCTTCTTCGGATTCTTCCTCTTTCGACAAGGAGTGATCTTCCCAAATGGAAGGGTTGAAAAGAGGTGGGATCTGGGAGAATCGAATGTAGGTTGGCATGTAACCGAGGAGGGTATGCGCCGCTCGTTCAATCAGGTCTGAGGACCAGACCCTTAGCAGGTCAGCAAATCGAACTTGGGACCTCAACAATTGAGCAGCGTCCCGACGATATCCTTCTGCAAAAATAAAGCAAAATCAGTACGTCCCTCAGACCCAAGAATAGATAAATCAAGAAGTCGGAAAGAAAACACACTTTTATTCCTCAGCACTTTGGGGCAATACAATCTGTCATACTCGGGTCCGATCCCTTTCTCCCAACTACCGCCGAGCATGATTAGATTGTCTACATACCCCTTGTCCGAGTCAGACATGTGGGTTACCAAGTACATTGAGGAATCTTGAGCCTGAATGTAATATCGCCCCCCGACGACTAGCCTTAGGTCGTAGCAGAATAAAATTTTGTCTACCCCTAAGTTAGTCCCCAGCCGAGTGTTTAAGGCGACTACGCCCATCACAATCTTAAAAAAGTTAACCCCACATTGAAGGGGAAAGAACTTCAGTTGCATCAATACTTTCAGCAACAGGGGATGGAGGGGGAAGGTCTCGTCCAAAAAGGCATCATGCCTAAATTTCCCATATCCCTCCTTATGGTGAGTGAGGTTAAAGGAGAAAGCGAAAATAGACTCACGGATGTGGTACCTAACCCTAAAGACTTAAATATTCTCATCAGTCACTTGGGTTCTCCTCATCTTGTGGGTAGTACTGGCCCTAACAGACATTTTCCCCCTGGTTTTACTAGTTCTAGCCATTAGTGGGTGCTAAGAGGACGATGATGAAATGTAGAGGAAATGAAGAGAGAAAAAGCTCAAGTGGAAGTACTTAAAGGAAGGTGGTCTTTAAAGAGGGCTCGGAGGACCATGGAAACTCGGAGGACAGGAGAGCACTCGGGGTCTGACTGTTGAGGAGAAATTCAGGATGCAAAAGTTCTGAGAAGGTATGAAGATCTCCTATTTATACTACCTCATAGGGAGCGGGAATAAAAAAGTTGGCTCATCATTAGGGCATTTGAAAAGGGCGGCACCAGACGTGCAAGTAACCGTCGCTATTAATAAAGAGTGATGATGGAGCCTCAATCTCTTTACGCCACTTGTCTTGCGTTGCGAAAAGGATTGCAGTTGGGGGGCAGTTGGTAGGACTTTAGGGTGGCTCTTCAGCCCCCGGGTTGACACATGGAATAAGGAAGTCGTTGGGATGTCCAAAGGATGCCGAGGAGGTAAGCCAAGGTATGGTGACATGGAGCGGCCGAGTACGACCGCTGACATCATATTTAATGCGATGTGACCTCACATTTATGGCAGAATGAGTGATAGTGACAGGGCCAATAAATGCGCGCATGCCAGCACCTGCCCTTTAAGAGTCTAAGCCTACTGTCATGATGACTAAGCATTAATGGCTGATGCGCCAAGATGACGCGATTGGCTCTCCCGAGGAATTGTTTCGTCAAGTATTCAATGCTCAGTTGGTGTCAGATGTCGACCTGCTGGATTTGGGTACTCGGGGAGTGGCATAAATGCACGGCGCATGACTGAGCATTTACCCTATTTTCCTAGCATTCAATAGGAGGAGATGTGAATAGAAAACACTCATTGCACGAAGAATGATGTGTCAGATGTGAGATGTCCAGATGAGACTGAAGATCTTTGACAATCATTGCTAATTCAGATATAAATATTCTTAGAAAAATGGACAAAGGTACACAAAATTGAACTAGAAAAAATTCATTAAGCAAAACCCTTCGATCATATACTGACTTAAGCTTCGAAGGGGATTAGCCGGGCACACGCTTGACTTAAGCTTCTATGAGACTTTTTTTTTTTCACTGCCTCACACGATTGCATGAATTATCTCGTTCAATTTATACCTGAATTAGCAATGATTACCAAAGATCTTCAGTCTCATATGAACATCTCACATCTGACACACCATTCCTCGTGTAATAAGTGTTTTCTATTCACGTCTCCTCCTATTGAATGCTAGAAAAACAGGATAAATGCTCGCCATGCGCCAAACGTTTATGCCACTCCCCGAGTACCCAAATCCAGTAGGCTGGTGTCTGACACCAACTGAGCATTGAATACTCGGCGGAACAATTCCTCGAAAGAGTCGATCGTGTCATCTCAGCGCATCAACCATTAATATTTAGTTATCATGACAGTAAGTTTAGACCTTCTAGAGGGCAGGTGCTAGTAGATGCGCATTTATCTAACCTGTCACTATCACTCATTCCACCATAAATATGAGGTCACATCGCATTAAATACAATGTCAATTGATATACTCGGCCGTTCCATATCACTATACCTCGACTTACCTCCTCGACATTCTTTGGACATCTCAACCACTTCCACGTGTCAACCCGGGGCTCCTAGAGTCCCGCCAATATCCTAATCGACAGTTCCCGATTTCAATTGAAATTCGTACTTGATCAGTGAAAAATTTGGGGGGTGTGATTGAAATTTTGTTGATTATTCAGCTGGCTAGAGAAAGATTTAATCTTTATTTTTTCATATAATTTGTTTGTAGTGTAGGTGGTGAGATGATAAGAAATTGCTGGTCGTCGAGCGATTGATTGCTCTTAATCGGCGAGGCCGATTCGGTGTTTTGAGGGGGTTTTGGTTTTGTATGGAAACTCGGCGCCGGAAGCGGGCGGAGGCCACCTCATCAGCCCCTTCTTTTTCTTCCTCTGGTCGCACCACCCGTTCTTCGAAGCGTGCCCGTCTCTCTGCGTCCACTGATTCATCTGCAGTCCCCACTCCGGCCACCACTAGCGCTGCTATCAATTCATTGATCTCAATTCGTTCCGGTGTCACTACTCGGTCCCAAGACTCACTAGCAACCTCATCATCACCGATGGATTCCACCAATGAATCGTCTGGGTCCGCACCCCGTGGCCGACGCGGTAAGAACCCTAGTCAGAACTCGGATAGGGATAATTCCGACAAAGGGAAGGAAAAAGAACATGAGGTTAGGGTTAGGGATAGACATAGAGACATTGAGAAGAGCTTGGGGTTGAACATCGATGGTAATGGTGGCGACGATGATGACAATGACAGTGAAGGCGGTGTTGGGCTTTTGCATCAGAATTTGACTTCGGCGAGCAGTGCACTTCAAGGGCTGCTTAGGAAATTGGGTGCTGGTTTGGATGATCTGCTTCCCAGTTCGGCAATGGCGTCTGGGTCTTCATCGCAGCAGAGCGGGCGGCTTAAGAAGATTTTGTCAGGGTTGAGAGCAGATGGCGAGGAAGGAAAGCAAGTGGAGGCATTGACGCAGCTCTGTGAGATGCTTTCGATTGGGACTGAAGAGTCATTGAGTACGTTTTCGGTGGACTCGTTTGTTCCGGTGCTTGTGGGATTGCTTAACCATGAGAGCAATCCGGATATCATGCTTCTTGCGGCCAGGGCACTGACCCATCTTGTTGATGTGCTTCCCTCATCGTGTGTTGCCGTTGTGCATTATGGTGCTGTTTCATGTTTTGTTGCTCGGCTGCTCACAATTGAGTACATGGACTTGGCTGAACAGGTGAGCAAGTTAGTCAACTGAAAGGAAAAAAAAAAAAAACTGAAAACCAATGTGAATGAAGGAAAATTACCTTTAATGGTTTGAGAACTGCATTTTTTTAGCATTATTTTCATTATGTAGTGTGCATTTGATATCCAACACATTTTAGCAAGTTGAAATTTTCAGTGTTTTAAACTTTTGAACTGTGACATTGATGCTTATCTTATTTCAATTGGACCAGTGTTTGCAAGCTCTAAAGAAGATTTCTCAGGAACATCCAACAGCATGCTTGCGAGCAGGTGCATTAATGGCTGTGCTTTCGTATCTTGACTTCTTCTCCACTGGAGTCCAGGTAAACGTAGTAGTGAAATTGGCATAGTATGGTTCATGCCCTGCAAATTTCCTCTCTGTGTCTGCAAGTATCATCAAATGCTACATTTTCTTTTAATACTGTGTATCAGCGAGTTGCATTGTCTACTGCTGCAAATATGTGCAAGAAACTCCCTTCAGACGCTGCTGACTTTGTGATGGAAGCTGTGCCTTTGTTGACAAACCTCCTTCAGTATCCTGATGCAAAGGTTGGATAAATATTTTGTGGTTATGCAATCGAATTCAATTCACACATTAAATAATTTTTCACTTTTTTGAGATAATTACTTTATGTATATGTCAGCAAATGCTTTCATTGTCTTTGTTTCCTCTTTCTTGTCTTTTTTAGGTTTTAGAGCATGCTTCCATTTGCTTGACTCGGATAGCTGAAGCATTTGCATCATCTCCAGAAAAGCTGGATGAACTCTGCAATCATGGGTTGGTAACCCAAGCGGCTTCACTCATTTCGGCTAGTAGTTCTGGAGGTGTTCAGGCTTCCCTTAGCACAGCCACGTACACGGTAAATGCAATTATTGCTGTCAAATTTAGTGATTTTGTATCTTGAGGCTGCATTGGTGACTTATAAAGCATGCAGGGCTTAATCCGATTGCTTTCCACCTGTGCAAGTGGCTCCCCCCTAGGAACCAAAACTTTACTGCTGCTTGGGATCAGTGGCATTCTTAAAGACATACTATCAGGTTCTGGACTTGTTGCAGGCATGTTTGTTTCACCTGCCTTAAGTAGACCGCCAGAGCAGGTACTTGCTGTTTCTTTTTGGTTCTTACTCTAGCCGCAAATAAATGAGGTGCTCTTGAAGCCTATAGACCAGTCTACATGCCTATTCACCATTTGGTATGCTCTGTGGTGGGTGGGGGGCTGTTTGCCTTCTGTGTTTGTTACTGCCAGATTTCCGGTTGGTGTATAGTATCTCCTTACTTGATCTAGTTTGCTTGGATTTATTTTATGTCAAATAATTCTAGAGTTCAAATGTAGTTTGTTCTCAAGCTCTTTTCTCAGTTCTTTCTTCTTTTTTCAGTTAGCAAAAAAATTGTATTTCCGTAAAACTAGACATAAAACATAGCATAAAACACTACTGGATACAGAGAGCAATTCTCTAGAGAATAACTCCAAAACACTCTTATCTTCAAAGAAAATAAACTCACAGCCCAAGTGATGGAGATCAGAATACTCCTATTATACTGCAATAGGATAGGAGGAACAAACCCACTACATACCCGACCCATCACAAACAAACTACTAATTCAAATTGTGGGTCTACACTTTCGGTTCATGCCCAAAGCTTATGAGTAGAAAAGCCCATTTGGACAATCCGGGTCAAAAAACCAAGCAAATCTTATGAAATGTGACAAGCTACTGGAATATTAAATAAAGAATAGTGGTCACATGATATCAGCTGCCTACATGGAACTAATTAATTAGATGGCAGCCTCAGGAAAGACGCGTGGCGTAAAAATGGAACCAGCATAACTAGCTGGTTAGAATTCAAAACAAACCACAATAAACAAAAAGATGAGGTGCAATTCACAGCTTGGGATGCCACACTATGCATCCCCCATCTCTGATCTGCTCTCCTTTTCCCTTACATGACATTGAACCACGTAACAACATCTATGTTCTCAGGTATGTTATTTTGTTTAGTCATGTGTGTTGGTGAGACAAGCTTTTACAGGAGACACTGAAGCTCTCTCATTTTGTTAAGATTTATGATTTCCAAGCTAAATACACTGAAGCACAAACTTGAGACAAACCCCAAAAGTAACTAGATTCAAGCCATGCTTAGCCTCACTAGATTCTAGAGAACAAGCATGTCCGGTCTTCATGTGTTTCTCCTATGCAATATGCACTACTAGCAGTATGTTCTGCTGGAATGATAGGTACTAGTAGTGGGCACTAAGCTTCCAGTGAAAGAGGAGACACTCATTGGAAACAAGTACTGTTTCTAGAAACTAGTCAAAACCACAAAAGCTCTTCCCAGGTCATCCGAGATGCTTTCAGTGGAGGAATACACCATAAAACTCAGCTGATAAGCTGCTGCCAATAACTCGCTTTTGATGGAGATTACAGCAGGACGACCCTCTATTTCTCTCATATAAGATATGAGAATTTGATCAGCCATAAGTGAAGGCATGGAAAATGGATAAATGGATGGGTTAGATGGGACTGGGGGAGGGGAAGGGAGGGAACAAGATGAACCTGAAAGCCTTTAGGAGAGCTTCTCTCTATCTAATCCAGAGAGAAAGCTCTCCCTCTTCCTACGTTTTCTGAATTGTCTTTAGGAAATATTCGTGCATCTTTTTGGAAACCTCTTTGCACTTTAGTGGTCAGTATCCGTTAATGCTGTAGTGTCTCCATTATGGAATGTCATGTTAGTAATCTTCCATTGTGTTCAGAATCTTATTTATCTGTGATCTTCATATTCAGATATATTGATTCTCAAGTTTAGTTTTATTTTTGGATATCTGTTGTATGATGTGAAGATGTCTGTGTGCTGCATAAAATCCTTAAAAAATCATATTTGATGATCTAGGTATGAAGTTTAACCCAGCTACAGTTTCTTTACGTTGATATTTGGATTCTTCTGCCTTTTATTTCCCTGCTCAGATTTTTGAGATTGTGAACCTAGCAAATGAGCTCCTTCCCCCACTGCCTCAAGGAATCATCTCTCTTCCAGCCAGCACTAGTCTGTTTGTTAAAGGATCCCTTTCAAAGAAATCCCCTGTCAGCAGTTCTGGCAAAGAAGAAGAGTCAATGGGAAATGTAACTGAGGTTTCAGCTCGAGAGAAACTACTAAATGATCAGCCTGAGCTTCTGCAGCAATTTGGAATGGACCTTCTTCCTGTTCTGATTCAGGTTAGTTTTCTAGGGAACTAAGTTGGCATGAATCCCTATTTCGTTCCATTAGTAAGCAATATTGCTATTTTTTGCCAAGCAGATATATGGATCTAGTGTTAATGGTCCTGTTCGTCATAAATGTCTCTCAGTCATTGGGAAACTGATGTACTTCAGCTCCGCCGATATGATCCAGTCTCTAATAAGTGTGACTGTCAACATAGCAAGGTATTTAATCAACAAGGAAATGCTGTGCTTGATCTGTGGTAAATATGTGTGAATACTTATTTAGAGTTTAATTATTGGTTCTCTAGTTTCTTAGCCGGAGTTTTAGCTTGGAAAGATCCGCAAGTCTTGGTTCCTGCCCTTCAAATTGCAGAGATCCTGATGGGAAAGGTTCCTGGTACTTTTTCCAAGATGTTTGTGAGAGAAGGCGTGGTTCATGCTGTGGATACCCTCATTCTAGCTGGATTTCCTTGTACTGCTCCTTCCCAACCATCGTCCACCCAGAAGGACAATGATTCCATACCTGGATCATCATCACGCTCCAGGCGGTATCGACGGCGTGGTGGTAACTCAAATTTAGATGTGAATTGTGCCGATGATTCTAAAAACCCAGTCCCAAGTATTGATTCACCATCAAATTCTGTGGAAATTCCAACTGTCAATTCTAGTCTTCGGATGGCTGTTGGTGCTTGTGCAAAAGCATTCAAAGAGAAGTACTTTCCTTCAGACCCTGTGGCCAGTGACACCGGTGTTACAGATGATCTTTTACATTTGAAGAATCTTTGTGTGAAGCTGAACCTTGGTGTCGAAGACCAAAAGACTAAATCAAAAGGGAAGTCTAAAGCTTCTGGTGCTCTCATTGCTGATATTTCTGCTGGTAAAGAGGATAACTTGGTTGGGGTAATATCTGAGATGCTAGCAGAGCTAAGCAAAGGCGATGGTGTGTCCACTTTTGAGTTCATTGGTAGTGGAGTTGTTGCTGCTTTGCTCAATTACTTATCTTGTGGATATTTCTCCAAGGAGAGAATTTCAGAAGCTAATCTGTGTGAGCTTCAACAACAAGCAATCAGAAGACACAAATCATTTGTTGGCGTCGCCCTCCCTTCAAGTGTTGACAATGGAAGTGTGGCTCCTATGACTGTCTTAGTTCAAAAACTTCAAAATGCTCTGTCCTCTTTAGAGCGTTTTCCTGTTGTGCTGAGTCAAACTGCTAGGTCATCTAGTAGTAGTGCACGTCTATCCTCTGGTCTAAGTGCATTGTCTCAGCCATTTAAGTTGCGTCTTTGTAGAACACCAGGTGAAAAATCTCTCCGTGACTATTCTTCAAATATTGTCCTGATTGATCCATTAGAAAGTTTGGCAACTGTTGAAGACTTTCTTTGGCCCCGAATTCAAAGAAGTGACTCTGGACAGAAGTCCTCAGCAGCTGCAGGGATCTGCGATTCTGGGACTACACCTTCAGGAGCCAGTGTTTCATCACACTCTACTTTTACTCCTCCTGCATCTACTCATCACCATTCTACACGATCCAGATCATCCATTAATACAGGAGAGACGGCTAAGGAGTCACAGGAGAAAAATGCAAGCTCATCAAAGGGGAAGGGAAAAGCTGTTTTGAAGCCAGCTCTAGAGGGGAGAGGTCCTCAGACAAGAAATGCTGCTCGCAGAAGAGCAGCTTTGGATAAAGAAGCAGAAATGAAGCCTGTGAATGGGGATTCTAGTTCTGAGGTATGGTTTATACTTTAATAGATGCAATATATGTGTGTGTGATCTTGAATATGAATTGACTTGGGTAGTGGTGCCTGCTGCAAAAACTTAAAAGATCTTGGATAGTTGTGACTGTAGTTAAAAGACACGTGTATGGAGGAAAATGTAACACAAAAGTTTTGCAATAATTATGATTGATTTTTCAAAGATTTCTGTCTTTAAATGAGTGTCTAACAACTAATTTCTTGGCCTTCTTCCTGACTGTGGTTGTTGGCTTGTTTTAGGCGTAGGGATAGGGAGACTTTCTGGTGCATGACTTGAAATGAACCAGTGGTCAGTTCACTGTTTTTGTTTACAATTTGTTGTTGTTTTGGTCAAAGTTAGGAAACTTTGGTCAGTTAAACTAGTGGCCTCTTGCAGGGGAGGGAGGCATCTCTTAGTCGTCAAGAAGTTTCTGCTGTGACCTGAGATCCTTCTATGCTTATGGAGGTCCTTTTTTTGCCTTGGGAATGGGAATGGATTTGAGATGCCCATATGGTTGATTAAGTGATTATTTTGAAGCTAAGAATCATGGACACCGATACGACATAGACACAGACATAGACACGTAGACATGAATTTTTTTAAAAAAGTACTACATGGACACGTTAAATATTATGTATATATAATCACATGATAAAATAAAATATACTTCCATAATAATCTTTCAATTCATCATTTCCCTAATTCTAAAAATTCAAATCATTAAATCATAGCATAAAAAATATAATATAAGATACACCGATGCACACTCATCATTAGTATCCATGATTTAACAATCAATGAATACTATAAATTCTATTTTAAAAAATATTCCACTTCATAACACATTTTTCGTCAATTTTAAAAGCCCTAATTTTATAACCCCATTTTTCATTACATTACTTTTATATGAGAATTTTATTCCATTTGTACATAAATTTATATTCATGTCTGAAATTATGTTATATCTATGTCCTATGTTCATGTAGTGATTATATATAACTCTATATTATGATTTTGACCCATATTTCTTTGAAATTACAAAAATAACTTCCTTAATTATGAAGTCATTTGAAAAGTTTTTAAAAATTTGAGAAAAAAATCAAAATGTGTCCCCCAACGTGTTGGTTGTGTATCCCTAACGTATCTTGAATAAATTTAATAATAAAAAATCCAGACACTCAATTTTATGTGTCTGAGCGTGCTCGTGTCCTAGATGTGTACGACACCGACACTCATACTGAAATGGAGGGTCCGTGTTTTTTAGTTTTGAAGTGGTGCATCGAAATAATTATTGCATGCGTGAAGAGATACTGCAGAGTTGAACCACCTTATCCTTCATGGAGATTGCTCCGTTGCTCATGTACTTGAGCATGTTCTATCTGATATTGTTTTCTTTACTCATCTTGTCCAAAGGCCCCACTTCATATGGACTTGTCTCGCACTAGTGACTCTTTACCATGCACAAATTTGAAAGCAGAGATAGCCTTCTAAGTGAGGATAATCAACTTATGTTAAGGATCGCTTTGATACCCCCCCTCCCCCAAAAAAAAAAAAATCAAAAATCAAAATAACACCACCAAAATGCTATTACACTAATCTCATTAACAAGGCCAGAATAAAGAACCCATAGAGAGTATCTAAGATGAAAAAGAATTCTGACACAAATATGTAAGCAAATTGCTTCGAATTCCTTGTAGTTATATAGATAACTAATCTGCTGGATGTTACTGGATCTAGAAAAACTCGTATACATTGAAAACCTTGAAAACCGAGAATGAGGCCTTTATGTTTAACTTCTTGTTTAATTCTAGTTACTAGACATTAGAGGACATTTCTGTAGTTAACTTTTGGTGGTTTGATGGAGTTACTGAAATGCCCCTAAATGGAAATGCTTAGTCTTCAGGAGTTCAGAACTCAAAAGTGGGTCAAAGGAAATGGCTTTCCATATGAGGAGGCTAATTATTCGTATTTCTGATCTCTAGACATGACTCAACTCAGCAAATGGAAAATCATAAGTCCTGGTACACTTATCTTGTGTGAAGAATAGCATATTGTGTTTTCGTGTCCATGTGCATGCCTCCAAGGGATCCTTGTTATATTTTATTTGTGGGATTTTTTTGTATTTCTGCAATTCATTAAATTGCAGTAACCGCTAACCTTATGCTTATAACTCTACTTATTCTTTAAAGTAATGGAAAAAAGCTTCCTTGAGGTTTTAAAATTCACTAGTTAGTATACACGTGTATTGCACGTAAACAACTTTAATTTATAATTTGATTTCCACTTTTCTCAAGATATAAAACTGACATGATTTTTAATTTCTATGATACACAAGTAAATCTCTAATTTTCACTTTTCTCAAAATATAGAACATGATTTTCACACTCCAGTCATACAAAAATAGATCACTAATTTCAAAGGAACTGGTATTTGATCAAGACATTCTTCCTATATTGCCAAAAAATAGGAAAAGTAATCCCATAAAGCATTTAGCCAATTCTGAAGGGTTGTTTGTTCATTTTCTTTCAATGCAATCAATGTATCTAAGTAAGCAACAAGTCACCAGAAGCAACACAATTAGTATCCCAGTTCTCCATCATATTTTATGGGTCATGTAGAAAATTCTCGAGAGTCACCCAACCCAAGCCACAATTGTATCAAATTGAAGGAAAAATATGATTGTTATTTGATGATCCCTAATGACTGTTATTTGTCTCCTTACTTTCTAACCTTGTTTAACAATGGGAATCATGTTTAAAGCAAGTTTTTCTGAAGCCTAAATGAAAAAAAAAAAACTCTTTCTAGCATTTAATTGGCCATTGTTTATCTTTAGTGCTGCCAAGGTTTTGTGATCCATCACGTTGGGATTTATCTTCATTCTCGTTGACTCGTTAGAATCAATCCCTTGCAATTGCCTACTCAGATTCAAGTGTTGTACCATTTCTCGGAGAAATCGTAATTCTTCATCATCATCTGTTGGTTTTTGAAGTTTCAATACCTTGTTTAGGCCTTGTGTTTGGCCTTTGTTGTTCTTGTCCACTCTAATGCAATCGACCTTTTTTTTTTTGGTTTTAATTTACCACTTGTGAGCAAAGATGAGCATTCTTATCTTCCCTAGAGGCAGTTTCTTGATCAGAGTTGCATAATCTACATTTTCTAAAACTGTAACTTTTTTATGCTCAACATGTTTGTTAACTTGGAAGACACATAATGGAAGGGAGAAAACAAATAAATAAACAGATAAAACTGGGTTACCAAAAATATCACTTACACTGTAAAATGGAAGCTTGCCTACAGTTTTGTCTATAACAACACCCTTTATCATCTTTTAGGTCTAAAGGCAGACGACAAAGGGAGAGAGGTGTAAGCCAGTTATAAATAGGATAGATTAACTGCAGAATATTTACTCCGCGAGAAAGTGTAGGGTCTAATAGCATAAAACTGACTTTATATTATTGATTAAAGGAAGTGTAGGGTCTAATAGCATAAAAATGACTTTATATTATTGATTAAAGGAAGTGTAGTGTCTGAAATTAAATCAATTATGCTAGTTATAGGATCTATAAATTCAATCTTATGCATAAGTTATTGGATTAGGGGTAAAAGTGACTTTATAATACTGACTGACTAGGGATAAATTTGAAAATCAAAAAAATTTCATATTAAATACATTCAGTGGCCATATTTGTATTTTGCTAGTTGAATAGATGCATGAGTAGTCCAACAATGTCAAAAGTTTAGATAGTTAAGTTACATTTTTCCAATTGAATAGATGTATGTGAGTAGTCTGAAAATGTCAAAAGTTTCCATAGTTAAGTTAGGAAGTTACATTCTAGTGATAAACACATTTGGATTTGAGAAGTCATGCACATTAAAAATGGCATTATAGTATTATTAAATCAAAAGCATTTGTATGGATACTTAGAAATGTTGGAGGGGCAATAAAGAAACTCAATTTTTTTATCGCTATTGCCATTTATATATAGTTGTAGATGTAGATATATATAATGCATTTTTTACAACAATAATTACAAAATTTAAAATTTTCGTTAATTAAGTATACAAAAAAGAGTATGGGGATTAGTTGCTTTATTAGGGACGTTTTAGTCAATCAAAAGTTTTTCACTTTTGTTGACATGTTATAGAAGTATAGATAATGAATAACATGTATAATTCATCGGCCTACTTTTTTGATTGGTGATTGTCTTAGTGTTTTTGTCATTGCTTATTTCCTATTATTTTGCTTAGTCATTGTGTTTGTCTTGTTTTGTCATTGCTTTCTCTGCTCCTTTTTTTTCCCTCGGAACCTTGCTCTGTCTCTCTCTTAAAGTTTTAGCACCCCAGAGTCCTGATATAACCACGATTTCCCATTACTTATTTTTGGTGCTTTGTAGGACGAGGCATTGGACATTTCTCCTGTTGAGATTGATGATGCCTTGGTGATAGATGATGATGATATATCTGATGATGATGCTGATGATGAAGATATTGATGATGTATGTTCAAAATCTTTTGATTTATTATGTTCTATTCTTTTTCCAGATGTATGGTGAATTGTGCAATCATTAGTGCTTATCATAGTTATTAATTTCAGTCCCTGAGACAGCATAAGGTAACTAAGGATGATTTTAGTTCTTCTGTTGACCCTAAAAAGGTATGTCAAGCTGCTAGGCAAGTAGCATCAAAATATGGTAAGGATCTCTAAAACAGGATTTGCAGTGGCCATGACAAGAAACGATGGGTAGTTTTGAACTAGCAATTTGATGTTGGTTTGCATGGCTGCTTCTATCTTCTCAAAAAATTATGAATTAATATAAAGCACTGGTAAAATAAAACTCCACATTCATGGACAAAGAGTTGCAAAGAAATAAAAGACAGTTAAATTGCTTCGTTAATCGGGATCGATGAAGTCAAGGCAGTAAGATGTAGCATGTAAGGAATTGGGCCTGACTGTGCCTTATATGCATGAGACAAAGAGGGAACAAGGGAATAGCCTGAGTCTTGTTGGCAAGGGCCATTCCACTCATGAACATCTGACCGATTGGTTGCAGTAAGGCAGATAAAGGACTTATGAAACAACATTTACAATTGCCAGTGACAGTAGCTATATCAAATAAGTTTTACCTTAACATATATCTTGGTGGTCATTTCTCAGCTGCTGAGGGATGAGTCTCTTCCTGTTTGCATGCCAGACAAAGTGCATGATGTTAAATTTGGTGACTCCACTGAGGATAGTAATGTTGTTCCCCCAACAACTGATAGCCAGATCAATACAGGATCTGGTTCTAGCAGCAGAGCAGCTGCACTAGTGGGCTCAGATTTGGCTGAGCTTAGGGGTGGAAGTTATTTTGGTTCACGGGGTGCACTGTCATTTGCTGCTGCTACCATGGCTGGGCTTGCATCTGCAAATGGTCAAGGGATCAGGGGAGCCAGAGATCGGCAGGGTCGTCCCCTGTTTTGTTCTAATGACCCTCCCAGACTAGCTTTTTCTGCTGGTGGAAAGCAGCTTAATAGGCACTTGACCATCTATCAGGCCATCCAACGACAGGTTGTCTTGGATGAAGATGACGACGAGAGGTATGCTGGCAATGATTTTGTATCTAGTGATGGAAGTAGGTTTTGGAGCGATATTTACACCATCACATACCAAAGGGCAGATGGCCAAACTGAGAGGTCTTCTGTTGGGGCAGTGAAGTTGATAACCCAGTCTAAATCTACAAAAGCTGGGTCTACATCCAATTGCAACATAGGTTCCTCACTGAATCGAATGTCCCTTTTATATAGCATTTTGCAAGGGGAACTGCCATGTGATCTAGAAAAAAATAATCCTACTTATAATATATTGGCGCTATTGCGTGTATTAGAGGGGTTGAATCAGCTTGCTCCACGATTACAAGTCCAGGCAGTGACTGACAGTTTCTCTGAAGGTAAGATTTCGAATCTGGATGAGATGTGTGCCACCAGTGTCAGGATTCCTCCCGAAGAATTCATTAACAGTAAGCTCTCTCCAAAATTGGCTCGACAAATGCAGGATGCGCTTGCACTTTGCAGTGGGAGTCTTCCATCATGGTGTTACCAGTTGACAAAAGCATGTCCATTTTTGTTTCCTTTCGAGATTCGGCGTCAGTACTTCTATTCAACTGCTTTTGGGCTGTCCCGTGCATTGCATCGGCTTCAACAGCAGCAAGGTGCAGATGGACATGGATCAATGAATGAGAGAGAGATGAGGGTTGGGAGATTACAGCGCCAAAAAGTTCGTGTTTCTCGCACTCGCATTTTGGATTCTGCTGCAAAGGTCATGGAGATGTATTCTAGCCAAAAGGCTGTTCTCGAAGTAGAATATTTTGGTGAAGTTGGCACTGGGTTGGGGCCTACCCTGGAGTTCTACACCCTTTTAAGTCATGACCTACAAAAAGCTGGACTGGGTATGTGGAGGTCATATTCTTCATTTGATGAATCTTCAATGGAAGTCGATCTGTATGAACGAAAAGATGGAAATGAAACTCTTAATAGTATCTCTGGACAGGTTTCAGTTGGGGGTGATAGAGATCTTATCCAGGCACCTCTTGGCTTGTTCCCTCTTCCCTGGCCTCCAAATGCTGATGCATCTGACGGTAGCCCATTTTTTAAAGTAATTGAATATTTTCTATTGCTTGGGCGTGTGGTGGCTAAAGCTCTTCAGGATGGACGGCTTTTGGACCTGCCACTGTCAACAGCCTTTTATAAGCTTGTGCTTGGTCAGGTAAGCTAATTAAGTACTTGATTTTCTTTGAGGTTGAGATATTGCTCTTTTTTTTCCAGCACCTTGCTGTATTGCTTTGTTTGATGAGGATATTTTGTTTTCTCCAATTCACTGCAGGAGCTTGATTTGCATGATATTCTTTCTTTTGATACTGAGCTAGGGAAGACTTTGCAAGGATTGCAAGCCCTTGTTTCTCGAAAACAATACCTGGAATCAATGGGTGGTTATGATCAAGATGAAGTAGTTGATTTACGTTTCCATGGGGTGCCCATTGAGGATCTCTGTTTAGATTTCACCCTTCCTGGCTATCCTGATTACATTCTGAAACCAGGCGATGACAATGTAATTTATGGTTCCCTTTAACGTGTCTTTGTATTTTGCACACTACTCCTTGGTTAAAATGTAAACCTTGTTCAAAACTTTCGCTTTCCTTGCTTCAGTTTCGATTTAGTCAGTGTTTGGGAAGGCTTTTCTTATACTTCTTTGTTAAAATCTGCAGGTAGATTTGACTAAGTTGGAGGAGTACATTTTCCTGGTGGTTGATGCTACTGTCAGGACTGGAATTATTAGGCAGATAGAAGCATTTAAATCTGGCTTTAATCAGGCATGCCGCTCCCTCTGTCCTTTACCAAATTCAATGATGTCCACGGAATGAATTTTATTTGGCTTGAAATATTAATTTTTTCTCTATCCATTCTGTTCTTGGATTGGCCAAGGTGTCATTATCGTGCATGTTGCAGTCATTTTGGCTGCCTTGTTTCATTTTTGTTGGTATTTCAACTGCTGAATTTTCTTTCACAGCTTATTGTGTTGATCGTTGTATTTACAAAAAAATGCTCAAACTGTTATTGGTTTTGATTTTCTTAGACTTGTCAAGCTATATACCACTTTTCCATTTCTAGGATCCGCATTCATGTGACTTCAATGTAATTTTAAGTTTGGATGGTAGAAACACCGCTTTCTTTTTATCTTATTTTCTTGCACCTTGACAATCATGTTTCCTGCTTGTGATAATGGAATTTTTTTCTGTAACTGTGTTATGCAACGATCAGGTATTTGACGTCTCGAGTCTACAAATATTTTCTCCAAATGAGTTGGATTATTTGCTTTGTGGCCGTAGAGAGTTTTGGAAGGTAATATTTTCCTTGTGTGATTTTTTTGGAGCCTCATAACAACTTATGATTAAAACCCGTATCCCTTGCATTGTCATGCTTAATTATCAAATTTTATTCTTATGCAGGCTGAGACACTTGTTGATCACCTAAAATTTGATCATGGTTACACTGCCAAGAGTCCTGCAATTGTTTATGTACGTTACCCATTCTTGTCCCTGTATCTTTAAGCTCTAAGATCCTTGAAATATTGTTTTTAATTCTTATGGTACTTGTATTAAATATTGTCTTATTCTGATGTCTTACAGTTACTCGAGTTAATGGGTGAATTTACCCCAGACCAGCAGCGGTTGTTCTGTCAATTTGTTACTGGTGCACCTCGTCTTCCTCCTGGTGGTCTGGCAGTGCTGAATCCAAAGTTGACTATTGTGAGAAAGGTAAATACCTGTGTAAATGTCACAAGGTCCTTCGGTGATTCTCCAACAAAATTTTGTGCCATAGTTGCTTATTCGCGCTCAATGTCTGGGTATAGCATTCATCAACCACCAGTAACACAACATTGAATGGGATGGGGTCTTCAGAAACTGCAGATGATGACTTGCCAAGTGTGATGACATGTGCCAATTACTTGAAGCTTCCTCCCTATTCTACCAAGGTACAAGTTAGTTAAGAAAAAGTTCATTTGTGGGTTGCATTATGATTATTTATTGGGCCACTATTCATAAATTATTGGCCATGTTGGGGAAATTAAAAAGAAGTGGCATTATGCTCATGTCAAGTTAGACTTTTTTTCCTGCCTTTTCAATTGTTTCTTTTTTCTTTTATTTCATTATTTCATGATGATTTTATTTGTTTGAACAGGAAATCATGTGCAAGAAACTGCTTTATGCAATCAGTGAAGGGCAGGGATCTTTTGATTTGTCATGAGTCTTCAAGCTAACCATTTGACCTGTGTATATTATATCAGAACACTTCTGTGTTCACGTCTTAACTGGGCTGTCTGTTGTTGGAAGTAGCCTTGGCATTGCTTAATAAAGGCCTTCTTACTCTGCCATTTTAACCACCGGCATTGTTAAGGTCAGTTTCTTCATGTTAATGAAAGTTGGTAATAAGGTTTGTGGGTTTATTCAGAGACTACTAAACTATTATCATATCATTCTATTCTATTCAATTCACTTTACAGTGTGCATTCTGACTCTTCTAATTTTTTTGTTGCAAAATTATGGTATCCTGTAACTTCTATATTCAACTTTTGCAAACCACCCCCACCCCCAAAAAAAAAAAAAAACCCAAAAAAGAGAGAATCTGTATTCATTTTGCAGAGTGACCATTTCAGTGCATGTTTCTTTCTTTCTTTCTCGTCTCTCTTCCTTTTTTTTCCTTCCAAATAACAGTACTTGAATAGTATTATGTTTTGGCTTCTCGAATTGTCAGTTGAACGTGGGAATCGCGTTGAAGTTGAATTCAGCATCACTTGTTCAGAAAGCTTTTGGAAGAAGAGATTGTATGGCTCTTTCTGCTGCTGGTGCTCTTGTAAATAAGTTGGAATTTGCTATTCTTTTATATTATTTTTTTTTTGGCATTATGGAGTAACATTTTTATTTAATTTCAGCTTGGGCTGGCTGAGAATATACATGTATGAGCATGTATTTTATGCCTCTGCTGTTTCCCTCATAAAATTTTGCTGATGATGTTACTTTAGATTTTTGTCAATGGATTAAGTGTACATAGGTAAAACCTCCAGGTCGAATGTCTCTGGAAATTGATGGTTGAGGGAATCTCTTCAATTTTTGATTTGACATTGAAAGAAAGGAATCTGTAGAAATTTTCTCTGAGACCCTGATACTTATTATTGGGACACTACTGACCAAAGATATGTTATGATCTCTCTCTCGTGAATATTGTTTCTGATATCTTAGAACAGCATGATTGTAAATACCTCTTAACCTTGTGTATATTGATCTGTGCGTCAAGGTTGGCTGTGCTCCAAAACTAACTTTATTTTGTGGGTGCTAAGTGTCTAGCTCGTTTGATATTCAAGGCAATATTCAATTAAGGGCTTTCAGTTCTAAGTTCTAGAGTTGGTGCATACACCACTGCTTGATACTCTTCATGAGAACCCCTCATGTACAATATATTCTATAACTCTTTGGAGCTCCGGTGAGGTCGTGGTGAATCTGGCCTGGATCCCTATTTATAAACTAGAACATGGAATTCCGGTTGGAAGCTCCATGGCTAAGGGTTGTGCATTTGAGTCGGGGCATGTCAGATTTGGCGAAAAACGTGTGTGATGCAATGTTGACAATGTGCCGATTGAAGTGAGAGGGAAGGGGGGGGGTGTTCTGGTGTTGGATTATGTGGGGATGAGAAGGTCGTGGGTTTTTTTTTTGCGGGGTGGGGGGAGGAGGTTATGCTACTAGTTTTGACACACAGAACAAACAAAATAACTTGCCCTACCTAACATAACTAGTGGAGCATGATAGAGAATTAAAAAAGTTGTTATTGAATATCTGGAGTCGTGTCCCCTTACAAATCTAAAAGCTTTATATAACCCTCTCTTTCATACTTGTTTTTACCAAACCCTGCAATAGCCACTAGAATGCTTGATCATTCTCAACTCTTGCCTCCCACGCCACCCAACACAGTTTGGGGTAAAAAGTAAACTATCATTCCAACTTATAAGAAGAAAAAGGTGAGGGACTTGGGAAATGACAAGAATCTCTGAAGAAAGCTAGCTATGGTGGAAAATTTGCCAAATTCAATTCCCATTAGACGTAGGAGCTTCAAGTTCAGTTTTATTTCATTGTAACTATATTGCAATCCCATATCACTGTCCGACACTTCTCTCTTAAGTCATCTTGGCGCGGCCGCACCTCACTTGGACAGCCAGTGTCTTGTAAACGTCTGGGCAAGAATCATTGCTCTGGTCATCGAAAACTCCTCTCTCAAGTGAAATTGCACAGCTATTTTTCCCCAGGCAATACTGTTCAAAGTCAAAGAGAAAACCCCATAAACTCTTTGGTAAGAAATAGGTAACCATTTGTTATCGCTACAAAAAATATATGGGTTTATCTCCTCTTCTGCTGTACTGCTGAGGAGCTGTTTCCAAAACAAGGTTCTATCACTTCAAACCCGACGCCATTCCAATGCTGTACAGCAGAGGAGCTGTAGTTTAAAGTAATGGAAGTTTATGGAGCAGATTAGCAGAGTATAACATTACCTGTTCAACAACTTTTTGGCTATTTGGTGAAGTGCAGTTGCCAACGTAGAAGTTTCCGCAGGCACCATAAGGATCACCAAAACTTGCAAACTCCACTTGCTTAATCACTTTGTCTTCGGGACAAGTTAGATGAGCTCCTGATTTAATATCTTCCACCGCAGCGCGGAACTGGTTTTCCGCCCTTTCCCATGATTTTACATTGGGTGGATGATACTCGGTAATGAGGCTGCATATTGTATCTCTGTTGACAGTTAGAACCTCAATTCCTCTCGGGTTTCCTCCGGTTTCCTCAAACACAACCAGAAGATTATTTTTTGGCTTCAAGAAGGCTCTTGGAATATGATATCTGAAAATGAATGTGCACAAATTGGAGCAACCCTTAGTTTGCTTTTTGATGATGATACTCGCTACTCATGACTAATTTGATGTTTCACCATACTTACTCGGATTGAGAAGGCGTTGCAAGAGGGGAGAGAAAAGATACCCAGTATCGACCAATGCTTTTACCATTGACCCAAGCCATCCCTTTTGCCATAGTTTTCATCCTTAGGGCAACAGGACTATTGCCTTCAGGGGCATCAAAGTATGTCTGCAAGACAGAATTTCAATGGCCTTTGAGATTGTAAAAAACAAAGATGGCAAATTATCCCTTTTACATTACTACGACAATTTCAATCCTTTCCCGATCAAAACTCTACAGTACTTTCAGAACAAAGGAAAATATATTCTCCATATTTTTAAAAATTTTGCTCTGGTATCAGGCTACTGCAAGACTATGCTCATGTTGTCTTCCGAATAATTCCTGGTGGCAAGCAACCCTCAAATGTATGATTTTGGTCTTGTAAATATAAATCGAAAAGACAACTCCTGTCATTACCTTGTACCATGTAAGGGGTGCTGCTGATCCATCTATGGGTTTCCATTGTACTTTACTTGCTCCTTCCTCCGTGAACAATTTTTGCTTTTCTCCAGTTATACCAACCTGCAAAACAGGAGCGACTATATTTCATTACCAATTACTTGGCTAATAACTGAATTATTATCAGTTCTAGACTTGCTGGCATTTTTGGATCAAATGCAGTGAATTTAAATTGAGATGCATACCTGGTGCCCCCAATAGTTCAGTGTGACATCAAGAGTTCCAGCCATCAAGCCCTGGATCGTTACAGCTCGTGGTCCAGCAAACCTCTTTTCCATGTAAGCTCCACTATTCTTCATGGATATAGAATGTTACATTAGTCTCTTTTCATTGATATGATTACTCTGCAACAATGTTTGGTTTACCAGTAATTTACCGGAAATCCCACTGTCATGCCTAGTAGTGATATGTGATTATCTCCGGGCTTCAAATTTATCGGTTTCTGGAAGACAAAACTCTTCTCAATGTTGTTTCCATGTCCAAGTCCTGAAAACCATAAGGTCCACACACACCAGAAGGTAAATAAAAAACTTGCATTTTGCCCACGTTCTAGTCTAAGTACATTTTGATCTGTGTGTGTGTGTGTGTTTGTCATGTCATGTTGTGTACCTATATATTCTCCATTTATGAATACAAGCATTGCATGGCCAAGATTTGCAATCTGTATGACTGGAAGAATGTCAGGCCGCATTGGTAAGTCGTTTCGATCAAAATTAATACTGCAATCAAAATTAGAGGAATGTGAGTTCCATGTTGGCAGTATGAAATCTGTTGGCTTTCCTCCATCTTCTCTCTTTAATTTTCCCAGAAGGATTAGATGCTCAAGGGAAAAAATAAGTGCATAAAAGTTATACTTGCTGCAGATAAACTTGCCTGGTGCTGTACCAAGCATAGTCAGAGGTATCTTTAGTCAAGGTGTACAGTTCCTTTGGTGCCTTGCTCTTATGGCGCAATGAACTTATGGTTGGAATGCTTTCTCGGAACATCTCCCATTGAAGATTCTTCGCTTTCTTTGATGGGTGGAAGTTCCTTGTGTTATGTTGTGCTACAATCTGTTTTGCATAATTATTTTAAATCTAGCTCATGAATTAGAATGTGAATTCCAAAACATTTTTGGAATCAGAATTGAAAACTAAAGCGTTTTGTGGCTCTTATAACTTTCTTAGTAGGCGTGTGCAACAGACTGGAAGTACCGTTTGAGTGTTATAAACTACAGTCTTGCAATCAGGAAGGATGCTAATGGACTTTGCAGGAAGGTAATAATCTGCCCCCTTGAATTTAATGGTAGCAGCAACTTTGGAATGGTTGTTGGTCAGGAAAGCAGCACAAAGGTTAATTGCAGGGTTCTCAAAAGTTGTAATCTGCAAGCAAAAACACCTTCACTTATCAGCAACCCAGAAAGAGGTGCAGTACTTGAACCAATATTCAGCACGGGTTTGTGTGCACCCCTGAATGCATCAGGCATGTAAGGGTGTTAATTGAGTTGAGCTTGTCGACCCGAGTTTAACTGTCTATGGCATTCAAATCAAAACCGAGCTCAATTTCTTAGAAAAAATTTTCGAACATCAAAGTTACCTCTAGATCTTGGTTAACCCTTTGGACTCGAGGAGTTCCCCAAAGCAAAGCCTTCTTGGACAATCTCAAAGCCCTGTGCAAGTCCTTGAGGTGACCCCATTTGGGTTCTCTCTTAAACCCTGAATGACACAAAGATGCAAAATCCTTATTAATACCTCTTTGTTTACCTTAATTTATCATAATCAAAGTTTCACTATCCCAACCAAATTCATCCAGGGGAGCTTCATCATAGTAGCGAGTCGTCACAAAAGATGAGCCTGTTCTACCATAATTTGTCCCTCCATAGTACTGCAAATATTGGATGTGATTTGTATCAGAAGAAATGAATTTCCTAATTTGATGATTGATACCAAAACTCTAGGAAATGGCACACACCATATAGTAATTGACAAGAGTTCCGTTTCTCGCGAAAAAACGAGCAACAGAGAATGCAATATCTTCTGCTGCTCTTTGAGATGGAGGGTCTCCAAATACTCTGTACCTGAAGTCATAAATTTGTGTATGAAAATGTGTCCATATCAGCAGCAAACAGCAAATCCTAGCTTGATTATCTACACCATGAATTGGTCATTGAAAGTATACTTACTGAGCAGTCCAATTCTCTGTCCATAGAGAAGGTTTATTGGGTCCATTTGGACCAGTGAATGTATCTCCACAGTGCCTTCCATTGCATGTATTGATCTAGACACCCAATCAACTATAGTTAGATAGAAGTGATATGAAGTAAAAAACATCGATCAATTCAGACATTGAAGAAGTTATGTCATTGTCAAGTCTTACTTACCGAAAAAGGATCAAGAAATTGGATAGTATACACGATGATAAAAAACTTACCACAGGCTCAGGGGCATCCCTTTGCTTGCACATGATCCATGGGACACCATTATATAGACCCACAGCCATATTTGCTGCCCATTGAACATATTTCTTACCTAAATCCCTATATGCAAGCTGGACATTGTTGTACTCATTTTCTATCTGTGATATCAAATACATAAGATAAGTTAGACAAAATTTAAACCACAATCTGAACATAATTTTTTTTTTTGGTTCAATGGCATGGGGTATCCGGACTAGTTTACGAGCACCTTGACTAATCCTCTCTCCAGTCCGGTCAAAGACAAATCATACATTCCGGGACTAAGGAATTTATGAGAGATTTATCTCTCATAGCCGCGACTCCAAGTGGTTGCTAATATTCGAACGGAGGACGTCAAAATTTATAGTTTGTCCCTGGGTTATCTGAATAAAATTTTTAGAACATGATTGAGATCAAACCTGTGCCAAAATAATAGGACCTCCTTGAGGAGCAAATAACTTCTCTTTTTGCATCATATTTATGACCATCTCACTGTATCTTTTCATGTGATACTGCAATATAAAGAAATATACTGTATTGTTATAAGTTGTTCAATGGGATTACACTTATGAATATAGATTTGTATGTCAGCTGGGTGTGAAGATAGCTACCATGAATGGCTCATTATAAGAACGGAATGTGATGTTTGGAACCTCTCTTAGCCAATATGGAAATCCTCTGCTCAGATCAAACATCAAAACGAATGAATTTGTGGTGTGTTAACAGAGAAGAACAAAAGGGCATACCCACTGCACACTAGCAGAGAGGTTGTTTCTGCTACTTTAACTCGTGACCCCTTGTCACAGTAGAGTAATCTTACCGTTGCACTAAGACCTGCCCTCTAGAGAAGAACAAAAGGAAGAAAGAAAAATTAAGGAGAAGAAAATTATAGAGGAAGAGAGAGAATTGCACCCTTGATTCCATTCAGCCTCAATGAAGGGTCCAATCCTAAGTGTTACATACATTCCATACTCTTGAATCAATTTGATGAATTTCACCAAATCATAATTGCCTTCAAAATTGAACTGCAATTTCAGACAACATTAAACTTTAGCACACAATACAATAGAATTCTTAAAAACCGCAAAAAGGATGATAAAAATGACCAACAAAAAAATAACTTAATGCACGAAGTTCCAATCACTATAATCCCTAAGTTGGTCAAATTTATGCATTCTTAACTCGTAGCTAAGTAATAAACTTATAAAATCATCTAAGAATAGAGGAAAAAATATACATTTACCTGGCCTGGAACAGGTTCATGAATATTCCAGAAAACATAAGTCTGGATTACATTCAAACCTCCTTCTCTAGCTTTTTTCAGGATGTCCGGCCACATCTAACCAAATGTAATATATTTTTCAGTTTGATCCACAAAAACTCCAAACAAACAAAGAAATCGAAAAAACGAAAACCCAATTCATAATGTTTTAATCTAATGTATGAATTACCTCAGGAGGGCTACGGGGATAATGGATTGAACCAGAGAAGAGAAGTTCTCTATTTCCATTGATGATCAGTGACCGACCGTCGTAGGTGACGCCTATTGGCTTGTCTCCATGGGCAAGTTGAGAGTTGAGTAACCAGGAAAGGAGAGCAAACAAAAGTATACGACTTGGTACAGACATATCTACTCGTCTTCCAAAAGAATGGCTAAGTGGGTTGTTCATAAGAAATGGGTAGAAAAAAAGAGCCAAATGAGACCTCTTCCCTATGAGGAGGGAGGTGTCCACGAGCTGTCTTGAAGAATCCATGTTATAGAGAAACCCACGGACAATATAAGGCCTTGGAGGGACTCTCGGACTTGTTAATGTCTTCCTTTGCCGTGGATTCCGTCGGTTGTAATTTCTTCTCACAGTTCTCTCTCTCTCTCTCTCTCTCTCTCTCTCTCTCTCCATATATATATACGAGTGTTTTTATGTACCTATTTTTAGGACGGAGAACGAGTTGAACGTTTGAATGATCGGAGAGACTTAGATTGGCTGTAATGGGTTTTCACCGAACGACTTTAACTGTAATTTGAAAATGACAGGAAAACTCAACATATAGACCGCATTAAAGATGATGTGTATTTGCATATATACCAATAGCTGTGCCACGTCAAGGAATTTGACTCAGGTGGCTTGGCAGTTGGCACTCAATTCAATGGGCAAACCAAGGGTCCAGGCCCAATGGACAAACTATGGGCCATACTAAAAGTTTACCGCCCTTTAGAAGCCGGCAATTGAACTTAATTGTCAAAAAAATATATAAAAAAAAATATTTTGTAAAAAAATTCACTAAAGTCATAGAAAGAATTGAATACATTTATATTGTACATAAGTTTCCTAAAAATAATTTTAGAAATTAACCCCGCATTTAATTATCTCCACATTATCCGGTGTGTGTGTATATATATATATATAGAGAGAGAGAGAGGAGTTCTAATAAAATAAAAGTGTTAATTACATTAGATGTCCCTAAAATATGAAGTTTATCTCATTTTGGTCACTAATGTTTTAATTGCATTATTTTGGACCTTAGAGTATTGAATATATTTCTATATGATTCTTCAAGCAGATATCATTTAGATTGCTAACGATTTTTTATCATAAATATTTAAGTATTATGTGACAAGTTTATAATAAAAAATCGTTAGCAATCTTAACGCTGTCTGCTTAAGAGACCATATAGAAATATGTTTAATACTTCAAAGACCAAAATGATATAATTGAAATATTAGTGACTAAAATGAGACAAACTTCATACTTTTGGGGGACCTCCAGTGCAATTTACCCAAAATAAAAACCTAAAATTTAGAAAAATTAAAACTCATAATAAATCCTCTCTATTTTTTTAGGAATATGTTTCAAAGTTTTTTGGAAAATTTTGAAATTTGACAATTAAAATTAAAAATTTTTAATTATCTTATTTTAAAAAATACTAAAATTAAAGAATTTTAGTCACATATATATACACATATAACATTACAAAATTACATTATAAAGCCTAATTTTTATTACTCCTATAGTGTTTTTGATATACTATATTGATACACTTTAAAAGATTTATGAAATTAAAGTGTATCAATATAATATATCAAAACAGTGTACGAGTAATATAAATTATGTTCTGTTTGGTATGATAGAAAAATGAAAAAATGAAAAGTTGGAGAAATAAATAAAACATTATGTTTGCCAAGAAAATGAAAATAAAAAAGATGAAAAAGTGGATGAATTAATTTTCATTCTAATTCACTCAAATCAATCCTTCCAAAATCCGAAGGAAAGTGGATGAAAAATTAATTATTTGTATTGAGATATATTTTATTTGTCTATATATTATGTATACATTAATTTCATATAAAAATATAATGATAAAATATATATATATATAATTTTTTTTAATATATATATATTAAAAAATTTAAAAAAAATTAAAAAAACATTTTAAATTAAAAATATATATATAATATATATATATATATATATATATATATATATATATATATATATATATATATATATATTATTTATAATGATACGATTTTTGACTCAAACTTTTATACGAATTTTTGACACGAATTTGAAAATTACCTGATATGCGAACAAAAAATATAAAAGGAGCATAAATTTATAATTCAACACGAATCTGACATGACACGACTCGATTTTCATCTTTAATCTTAACTAGTAAAAAAAATTAGTCATTTTTATTTTTTATCCATCCAATCAAACACAAAGGAAAGAAAGTGTATAATTCCTACTTTCTATCCTTGAAGGATAGAAAACGTATCTCTCATACTTTCTATCATTCCTACCAAATGGAGTATTAGGGATTAAGAATTACACAAATCTAATGTATATCAATACAGTGTATCAAAATAATGTAGGAATAATAGAAACTACGCTTCATAGTGTGACTTCGTAAATATTATGTGTATTGTGTGTGTGTGTGTCTATATATATATATATATATATATATATATATATATATATATATATATATTCTTCCATTATATTAGAAAATCTTTAATACACTAAAATAAAATCAACAATCAACTTAACTGCGAAAAAAAATATGCATGATTTAAGGAAGGATAAATACGTCAAAGAAAAATCATAAAAGTCAAATTGTGTACTTGGACACAATTAAGTGCTAAAAATAAAGACTTAATGACCTAACATTAAGAGTTATATACTTTTTAGCCAATAACTCTAATTTCGTGTACCTCTTTACATTTTCTCCAAAGTTTATTACACCTCAACTCATAATTATTATAAGGTAAAATTGTTGGACTTTACTCAAATCTATTCAAAATTGTCGCGGGACTTCCTCTCACACTTGGCTTTAGAATATCAGATGATATTGTCTTCAACTTGTACCAATAATGAAAAATTTACTACGACACCGACTACTACATTGGACTTGACCAATTTATATTTTAAAATCAAATCAAATTCTGTTAAAAACTCTTTCCACCGACTTTATTTTGGAGTAAGTTTTTAGAGTATCAAAATAGTTCATTACAACATTATCTTTATGGATTTTCAAACATACCACCTAATATATAATATCTCCAAAGCCACAAACATTAGGCCGTTTGAAACTAATTTTTTTGGGTGTAAATAGGGGCGGAGTTAAAAATTATGTTTAGGGTGGACACTTTATTAAAAAATTTTAATTTTTTTTTCTAATCAATAAAAATAAAATAATATATTCAAATTTACTATATTGTATTCGATACTTAAAAATTTATAAAATATGAAAAATGGTAAAACTTTGATAAATATAGCATACATAAATAAAAACAAACAAAAAAGAGAGGTTAATTATACTCCTTCATAACAAATGAAACAAACTGCATAAAAGATACTATAATATTTATGCATATGTATGATCAAACAATTAGTTATTGATCACTCATTTAATTAAGTAACCTAGTTGCCATAATCTCTATAACTTTTTTTTTTTAGTTGAAATCTCTATAGCTTAAAAAAAATGAGTTCGACATGTCAAAAACTTACATAGATGTATCCCTAAAGTGTACACAGTGTCATAAAAAATTCATAATTTTTTAGGTACGAGGACAATACTAATTGATAGAACAAAAAATGATAGAGTGAGCACACTTAAATATTCTTCAAATTATTTAAAATATACATAAATAATATTTTTTAAAAAAAATTGAGGGTGGACACGTGCCCCCTAGTCCTCAAGTAGCTCTGCTCTTGGGTGTAAAGCAAAAGTTTGAAAAATGAAATGAAAAAATCAGAATTAAAAAAATTCTTGAAACTATTTGAAATGTTTCTGAAAAAAGTCGGATTTTTCATGGAAGTCATTGGATAAGTCCAATTTTTTAAATTTTTCTTGGTGTTGATAAAAAAATTTTTTGCCCAAAAAATTGATAAAAAAGCCACCCAAGAAGTCCGGGTCTAAATGAAACAGACTTATTTTCGTTTGAAAATAAAATTTGAGGTTTTTAATCAGCTTCAAGCATGTCCGACATACTAAAAGAGCCATTTCTTTTTTATGAGCAGTAAAGGTGCAAAAAATCTATTTTGAGGATTGAAAGTCACCTGACAATCTTCTTGAACAAAGTCGCCCCCACATTAGACAAAACAGGGGTCGTCTAATTGGCCGGCCCAATGGGTAGACTGTAGGCCATAATTTTTGGGCTAGCCCATCCTTGTACATACCCTGCCCAGGGCAGTTAGATGATGAGCCGAGTAGTCACGAACCCATGCCTCCCTCCTAAAATTTCAAGTCTCCCTCCAAATAGCACGAAAACCCTCTTCTTGTACCTTTGGCGATTTCCAGACATTGTAACACCAAAACAGCGAACAAGCTCACTGGTTCATTGCTCAACAGAAAGCCCACCATGCCGAATAACCAAGAGGACCTTGATCTCCTTCTCTCTCTTCAGGAAAGGGTTATGGAAACCCCTCCTGCTTCTCCTTCAAACCAATCTCAAGGTAACATAGCTAATTTTCTTGTTGGGTTTGGTGATTTTTCTTGCTTTTATCAATGATATGCTATCTGGGTTTATCTCTTGATTTCTGTATATTTTCAGCGGACCTATCCGATGATGGGTCGCCGAGGCGATTGGGAAAGGCGGACATGTCTGTCTTTCGAAATGCAGTTGAAGATTGTCTTGATTATGAGCCCAAACCCATAAAAAAAGCCCCCAAATCAAACCACTTGAAGAGCTCAAACGACATTAAGGTTGAAAAGTTTTCGGGTTTGCGGATTCGGTAGGTTATATATGAACTTACAAATCCAATTGAGAATATAGCACTGATAGAACAAACGAAGTTTGGGCTTTTTGCAGATTCTTTAGTTTGTTTGCATTCCTAGTTCCTACTGTTACCAACAATAATTGACAGAACCACGGAAATGTTTTATATTTGTTTTGGTTCAAACATTCTTCTTCAGGAATCAATTGGTCTCGCCTACAGAATTGAGCAACCGCATCTCAGATATTCGGTTTGTTCGGTTACCAGCAATAAAGTACAATGCATGCACTTCAATGAATTTGTCACATTATTTTCATTGGTGCAACTATGATTTAGTTACTGATTTCATACCTCCATGGGTTTTAGGAATCTGCTAAAAGGGGACACTCTTTCTGGATGTTGGGCAACAATTGGAGTTTTAACTGAGAAGGGGATTCCGAGAACAAGTTCGACAGGGAAGGCATATTGTATATGGAAAATGGGGTGCTTAGATGAGAAGACTATTTCTGTTTTCTTATTTGGTGACGCTTATCAGAAGAATTGTAAAGAGGAGGTTGGAACGGTCTTTGCTTTGTTCAATTGCACCGTTCGCAAGGACACTTGGGTAACAACTTTTCATGTATTGATCTAGTTGTTTTGCCTAAGATTTTCCTTATCGTTAACCTTCTCCATGTCCTGTCACAGGAAAATGGATTTTCCTTGAGTGTGTATTTTGCTGGTCAAATTTTAATGATGGGCACTTCTTTGGATTATGGGGTGTGCAAAGGAAAAGGGAAGGATGGGATGGCGTGCACATTAGTCATTAATAAGTATGTTATGTCACATCTTATGCAATTATGTCTGTCAACTGATATAGTGGTAACTCCAATTCATCTTGCCAGATGATCTTTATGAGGTCTTCACACTGTTGATTTGCTGCGCAATCTCAGTGAAAGAAGTGGCGTTTGGAAAAACATCTATGTTGATTGGTTGTTAATATATCATTCGAATCTGTTAAGCATAAGTGCTCCCCAAATATACTGTCTGTGCTCTTCTAAATTAGGTGATTGGACTTCCCTGATTGACACATTAATTCTCTATGAAGTGAAATTAGTTTCACTAATTGATTTCATTCAATTGGTTATTTTCCAAGAACATACTTTAAGAGATTGTGAAGTTCACAAAGGACGTTTAGTTTGAGGAACTTCTTAAACCCTTTATGGATTTATGATGGTTTCACCTTTTGAGGAAATTATATTCTTACTCTTTTATATGATAAAGACTTTAATATGATATTCATTTACCAGCAGTGTGTGGTGAAACCTTTATATTCCAAACCCTGAGCCCGTTCCAAGCAGTATGTGGCCTGTTCAGGATACTCGTTTCTGATCAGAATGTGGTTTTAGTTGGCAAACATAGGATTGCCATGTATCCTGCAATTTTCAAGAGTTATGGGTGAAGGATATGATGCATTTTAGCATCACCATGCCGAGTTTGATTATTGCAAACCCTTGTTAATGTATTCTCACTATAGAATAGCATCCTTAATTTTTATATTTTATTATTTTTTGCTTGTTACCAAATTTTGATCCAGTAAATTTTGAAGTAATTGTACTTAGCAATGTGAACTCTTCTAATAAGCAGATGGAATTAAGAGACTCTTTGTTTATATTTAGGTGTATTATTCATTTAGTATCTTTTCTGCTAAACATGTTAGGTTTATTTTTCTTGTCAGTACTTTTTTGCTAATATTTGATGTTAAACTAATTATCCGTATCAATTTGTATTTCCAGACGCCGTGGTATGTACTGCAGAATCCATAAATCGGTAAGCATAAATTCTCAAGCCCTCCAACTTCTCTTGTTAGTCTTTTAGGGAGATATCAGAATCTCTAAACTTACATTGTCTACTTTTGATTTTCTTTACAGAAAGCCTCTGAGACATATTCCAATAGGAGAAATGAACTCAAAGGAGGGTAGGTTATGGCTGGCCAAATCATTATATTGTTCTTTACCAAAGGTGTAGAAGACGGAAATCTAGAGATAGCCTATTCATTATGCATAATCATTATTTCTTGAACTGATTTGGTTTCTTTGAATAATTACTTTTGAACCTTTTCATCTCAGGAATTTAAAGACAGCATTCAGGGATCCTCTTCAGTCAGAAGGAATTTATTTGGTAGACCCTCTGGCCGACAGGACAAACCTAACAAAGCCCAAGCAGCCACTGAAGTTATTATCTGTGGATGGACTGAAAAAGGCATTAAGGTTTGTCCTAGATTGTTCACAGCAGTTTCTAATGGCCCATCTCTCTGGGTTAGCATTTTTTCTTCTCAAGTAGCAATCTTGAGTGGAAAAGTACTTTCTTGGATGTGAGGTATTATGGGTGGAGATGGTCAGATAGAATTTATATTTTCCACTAATATTGTGAACTGTGATTGCCTGATTGGATGAACAGCAATGCAAGCAAAGTGACAACAAATGCACACTCTCAAGGAATAAGATTTCTCACTGAGATCACAGGTTAACCTCGTATTCTGTCATGGTGAACCGTAAATTTAACCTCCTATATGATTCTCATGGATATTTTCATTTGATTCTAGGAAAAATTGTTTCAAAAACTATGGTAAAAGAATCTGCAAAGTCAAGCCCATTAATGAATAACTCGTTGAAGAGGTGAACCAAAGTGCATTCTGCTGGTTCTTTTTTTGGCTTCTTTCCATTTCACTGATGATTGTGTATCATCATTCTCAGGTCATTGCCAGTTGAGGGAAAGAATCAGCCTATGGTTAAAACAAGTCAACAACTGAATACAAAAAGATTAAAAACAGAGCAGGTGCAGGCTTCAGCAGATAAAACTAAGCAGTTTACAGAAAAGATGATTGAATTGGACTTAGTTAGTTCAGATGAAGAAATTTTTGAGTGACCATCGTTGAGCCTATGCATTGTGGAATGAACGTTACAAAGCAATTAGAACTCGTAACAAACTTTATGTTTGATGGGCTGCTTGTTAGTTGAAATTTTTGAGTCTCCATTAGAACGGGGTCGGTTTCCTCCACGAGTGGACTCGAATTTCATTGATTTGTTTGATATGGCTACTCACGACTACTGAGCTATATTTCTAATTGTATTGACAAGTCTGTACTGTAATATAATGTTTAGTGTCATGCGAAAAAGATGGGCAGGTTGAAGAGTGGAGCAGTGTAGCTTGATAATTATTCATACAAGTCGTTTAAAGTTTAATATGTTCCATTGTTTGATTAAGTTAATTTTCAGGACTTACTTGTAAGATGACATTTCTGATGTTGACTTGATACTTGGAATTGATTTTAAATTCATGCAACTAATACTGATGCCATTTGTCGAGTTAATCTTTGAAAAAAGTTTCTTCACCCGAGTGGTTGCTGATATATAACAACACAAGGCTTGGATTTCAAAGTCAATTGAGGACTTTGGGTTTTTGCAACGGAGATGTTATGCATACCAAAACTTTCATCAAAAAGTATTTTTACCAAATGAATTGGCAGCTCTAGATTACTCTTAGACCCACCAAATGTTGATCAAAATATTTTTAATTGGATATGGAGTTGTTAACTTATTGGTAAAAGCACTTTTTAGTCAAATATTTGATAAGCATAACATTACTTTTTTGCAATATCATGCTGACTAGTTATGATAGAAACATTGCTCTTCCACATAAGACATGGAAATATGTTCAGGGTGACTAGGTATAACAATTCCCTCAAGACGTTGTCTTGAGATTCTTATATGTTGTAGAATGTTCGGTTTGAACTATAATTATTGACTTGAAATGGTTGAATTTATCACCATAGCATATCGAGGGCAAGTTGGACATTCAAGTCTTTCAATAATATCTGATTCATAGGAATTACTATTGTAAATGGATTCGAATTCATGACTACTGAAGGAGGATGGGACTTTCACCCTCTATTGAAAGCCAACTAGGCTACCATCTCAATAGTGAAATATGGTAAGTTGTGTATAACACAGATAGGTCTCATCTACCCAAAAAAAAATTGCTATCAAGTAGAAGTGGGTTTGTTCTTCTTTAGGTTGGGTGTGTAAATGAAATTGGATACATCATTTTGAGGTAAATAGTTCCTTTTTCTTAAGATTTATTTTTAGCTAAATCACCAACTAGTTTAGGTAGAGTTGCTTGTGGTCAAAATATCTGATTTCAATGGTTAACTATTATAATTTGGATGTGTGCTTCAAGTTAGACAAGTGCTGTCCATATAACTTTAGTGATGGCATACCCTAACCACTTATTTAAATATTGATTAAGATGCCAAATGCTTTACCCAGAAGTACCACAGATTTCAACTGCTTTACCTTGAAGGTACCAGACTGATATGAAGTGAATGTAACATTCATCTTCAACTGCTTCGCCATGAAGTTACCAGACTTAAAAGGAAGATCATCAATCATGAAACATTTTCAGGGTGGAGGTTGGTGTTAAATTTAACCCCCCCTCCTACCTCCTTCCCATTGAAAAACCCTCAAAAATAGAAATGGTCTAAGTAAATATCAGATGGATCAATATGGGAAGGTAAGGAACATGCTCTCTGAAGAGAGGGCCAAGTGGTAGGAGAGTTGGTTATCCATGCACATGGAGTTGGTATTAATCTTCCCCTGTGGACCCAGAATATTATGTTATTTTGTTTTATATTGTGTTTTTCCTGTTGTCACATAGGTGTACTATGTTTACCCAAGGAAACACCCTTTATTTATAATCAAAGAATTAGGTTAAACAAGTAGCTTAACAATACTTTTTTAATGATAATTAAGTAATCTCTTTAATGCGGAGTGACGTTAGATCAATTTAAGTAGAGGAAAACCCTAGATACATATAATCACTAGTTAATCACGGGTTTTACTTAAACCTGTAAGTCACTAGTCGGGTTCAAGCCGTATGCATCTTTGCCTCAAAACAGTTAAAAGATTGATATATATCCATGTGAAAATCCACATCAACAAAAATATATCTTCGAAATATTTTCCGGCTTCCTAGTACCCTTTCTAGAGTGATAGTAACTTTTAGTATAATATCGAAAATTTTTAAAAGTGAAGTTATAATTGATAAGAGTTATTTATGATCATCATGAAATATTGTGGTCGACCATGAATAACTTCAATCAGTTATAACTTTATTTTTAAAAAGTATAACTTGATTTTAAAACTTATAATTTTTATGATCAATTATAATATTACAAAATTGATTATAACTTACGCTTTAAAAAATTATAACTTGGACTTTCAATATAGGACCAAAGGCCATACCATAGAGATCCTCTTCTAGGGTTCCCATTTGATGACGCAAAGATGCATGCCATTTACTTTGGTTAGTTGTTCTTTGTACTCTTTTTTCCCAACCACCTCCTTGCTTATTAGTAATATTCAATGCAGTAGTAGTTCATGAGTCACTGCCTCTGTGGGTTTCCCTTAATGGGTCCCCTTGAAAGTTGAAAGGCAAGAAGCCCCATTCTTCCCCCACCTCTATATAAGTCTACTCGTGTCCTAAATAGGACAAAACTTTCTTGTATTCTGTTGCCTATGTAACATACGTGAGACTGGCCATGTTAATCATATGATAATTTATCATTTTTTGATGACATAATTATATTAAATATTTAGTCAACGTATAGACTAAGAAAGGCTTTCTTAAGTAAACAACACCTTACAATGAAAATTTACTTGCAAGGAAGAGTATATTTTATGTCAACACCACCTTAGATTACATGTTCTATTTTCATGATCCCTAATTCATCCACAAAAGTTAATATTTTATATCCCAAATTATATAATATTTCATAAAATATTGTATGAAGTTAATTACTCAAATATGTTCCTATTCATAATTTTTAAATTCTTCTCTTCTCTTTGTCTTCATCTATTTTTTTTCCTCTCATTTTTCAACGAGTGACAGTTGAATTTTGACAATTTTATCCTTTGAAATTTGGCATTCTTTCTTCTGTTTTTTTGTTTAACATTCAGGAAAGTTCAAGTCAACTTACGTACACCTTTGCTAACCTTTTTCTCTCGTTCAGTTAAAGACAAATCATTCACGTTAGAATTAAGGTATTCTTTTAAAGACACCAAAAAATTTAGTATTCTTTCAAATAGGCAATATAAGTGTAATAAATAGAGTGGATCATTCCATATTCAAGAAATATGAAGTAATAAATAAATTAAGTAAACATAATTCTTTGAGAATTATCTTGAATACCATAAGAATTGTGGTTGCATGCGAGAGGAAGAAAAAGAGAGAAGTCGGGCTTTTTGTGACTATGATGATAGACAGATAAAATTATGATACTAAAAATAATTTTACAACAATATATCAAATTATTAGGCGCAGCTCGTGCTTGAAGGCATGGTAAAAATTTAAGAGGGATGTTGGTGATCGTTGGATGAATTTATTTGAAACTGTCGAATAGACTTATTAAAATCTGTCGTGTTTTATATTATAGACTTATCAATCATAAAATTATGTTTATAATCATAAATAAAAAAATATATTTTTAGTCCCAAATATGTGTTTAGTACTTATTTGGTCTTCAATTTTTCAATTGTATATATTTGATCCTTAAAGTTTTTAATTTGTATCTAAGAAGTGTAATTTCAAATATTTTTTAGAAAATTGATATGGTTCTGATCACGTGTCAATCATGTGATTCTTAATTTTTTGTTTATTTGACCTCTAAAGTTTATAATTTGTATTTATTTGGTCTCACGTGATTAGCGCGTGACTAGATGTATTAACAATTTTTTATAGACGTTTAAGATTGAATTATATAGATACAAATTAAGAATTTTAGAGATTAAATAGACAAGATTAGAAGATTAAAGATAAAATAGACATTATAGATATACTTTAGGACTAAAAATATATTTTACAAAAAAAATAATTTTCTAATCCTTAGTCCGGTCGGATGCTATAATGTTTAGGTTTGGTACAGCGAAATATAAGACAAGCACGCATAACTCGTCTACCGAAGCGCTTCGGTCTCATTCTCTCCCCTAACATACCAGGTGATCCTCCCTCTCTCTCTCTCTCTCTCTCTCTCTCTCTCTATAGCTGAGACTGATCATTGAATGTGGCTCCACTTAGGTCTTGTGTTATAATCCTCTCATCATATCCAAAAAAAAAAAAATTAGGGTTTTAAACTGTGGTAGTGTTTTCCCACCAATTTAACAATGTCCTTTCCTCATTGCAGCAGATGATTCATTAAGCAAAGGAAGAGCAGTATTAATACTATTCCATACGTCGTCGTCGTCGTCGCCGGAGGAGGTCAAATATTAGGCTTCGCCGGTGAAGAAAATGAGCGCTTCGAGGTTCATAAAGTGCGTCACAGTTGGTGATGGAGCTGTTGGTAAAACTTGCCTGCTCATCTCCTACACCAGCAACACCTTTCCCACTGTGAGTTTATAGCCTTCTTTTTCGAAATTCTGACAGCATTTTGTTAAACTAACCAATCTTTGGCCCTTCAATGTCACATTCTTGTGTAAAAGCGCTTGCTTTTTAGGGCTCTTGTTAAATTCTCAATATATTTCGGAAGATATAATGTGAATTTTCTTGCTTTGAATTCTTCAAGTCTGGGCTTTTTGGGTTTGTCAGCTTGAATTGTAGTCGTTTCTCCTGATAGTTGAAGGGGTTGAATGAAAATTTTTCAAGAAACAAGCAGAGAGTTGGAATATGGATTTTACTTAGTGGAGTTAGATGAGTGAGACGGTAGAATGTTTTGTTGAGTAAGTTCTGCACGGTTCTGATTCCAATCGATACATGAAATTTATGCAATGCACGAGTAAGAGGCTTAAAGCTTAAGAATTTACAATGGTTTTGTCTGTGGTATTTTCAAGAGTTACTGGTGCAAATTGCTTAAATTTCCTATTAATGCTTGATGGTTTTTCACAATCAAAGGTATTGATATCTTCTTTGTTTTTTGACTTTGTTATGTGTTGTGGACAGTACTATCCTCAACAAGATATTGATTTATGATTTAGTTTGATATTCATGCTTACTTTTGCTATTTTCTTTCAAATCAGGAGTTTAACATAATGAGACTCAGTTTATATTGTTACTGTATTGGTTTTTATCTTTTGTGATTTTCTTTGAACAGGATTATGTGCCTACTGTTTTCGACAATTTTAGTGCAAATGTGGTTGTGGATGGGAGCACTGTTAATCTAGGGTTGTGGGACACTGCAGGTAACTTGGTCATGGCCAGTCACTTCTTCTTTAAAAGCTTTTATTACATTAGGCTTGACTCATTTACATCATGGAACAGGCCAAGAGGATTACAATAGACTAAGGCCTTTGAGCTACCGTGGAGCTGATGTGTTTATACTTGCATTTTCTCTCATCAGCAAGGCTAGCTATGAAAATATTCCCAAAAAGGTGCAACTGACTTCGCCTTGTAGAAATAGATACTTTTCTTTCCTTTCAATTTTTTTTTTCTCTTTTGCTATCCCTTCTCTATGCTTCATTAGTTTTCTGAGAAAATGTAGAGAGGAAAGAAAATTCATCTTGGGGTTTCATATACTGCATGGTTTGGAGTCCAACAAAACCAAATACCTACTTGGATGAAGATAATACTGCTATTTGATTTAGTTGTTTTGGGGCCAAGGATTGAAATTTCCTTTTGTTTTAGATGAAACAAGCAAAATGTTTTAGTTTTGGTGGAAATTGGATTGAAAAATGAAATTTCTTTCATCAAGAATGTTTCGGGATGTTCTTGAATACGTTAGAATCAAAATTCTATGTTTTTTCTCTATTTATTTTCTATTTCCGAAATGATTCCGTTTCTAAGTTGACCAAAAACCGAACCGGAGTATTCATCCTTGTTTGAGCTTACTTTTTTCTTTTTAAATAAGGAAGTGGATTTCGCATTGAAACCAACAAGAATCATAAGACTACTGATTTGTATTTCTTTCATATTGCTGTATTTCATATCAATGAAAGCTTTAGGATCCTGTCCAATGATGTGGTGCTTATGGGTTCTCTTTTGTGCTATGTTTCTGTGTTCAGTGGATTCCTGAATTGAGGCATTATGCACCTGGGGTCCCTATTGTCCTTGTTGGAACAAAGCTTGGTTAGATCCCTGTATTCCATCCTTTCTTTCTTATTAGGAACTGTATTGTATTCTATTTTATAGTCATCAGTCACAATTTGCTTATTATGCTCCATTGAGCATTTGCTATTTACTAAAATGTTATTGTTTCCATCTACTTTCATGTATTATGCAGTATGTATGGCCGAAGGCTCTTAGTGAAATATAGTTTTTGATAGGAAATAAAACTTCCATTCAAGATTGGTCGATTAGAAATCCACCGAAAAGAACCAAAATTAAAGTAAACAACCTATCGATTACAAACAACTTTCCAGCTGTGTTGAAGAACTAATAAAGGAGTGTCACGAAACTCATGTCACCACAACCCAAAGAGAAGCCAAGAACTTCAGTCTATCCCATTGCGATTCTTTTTTCTCCACCTTTTCTTGAAAGATTCTACTATTCCTCTCCCCATATCAGCCAAAAAGTTGCTCATCTTCATAAGGTAGAAGCTTTTTTACCATTTTCAAAACCTTCAGTTATTCACCTTATGAAAAGCTATCATCCAAGTAAGCACCTGCACCTTAATAGGTTTAGTGAGATGTTAACGTTCAATTATTTGTTTATTATATTTTATAACTTGTGGTAGTTAGGCAGACTGTCTTTGGCGTGATAAAATTGGTTGACTATCGGCTTGAAAGTGTTAAGAGTATCCAATCCAAAACCAATTGGTAATGGGTGGAGTGATCTTTAGAATATAAACCAATCTTGGTGGTCCTAATATTTCAATGTCGGATACAAGCTCCCTTAACACACTCCCTTACGTGGGATATGGACTCGCATGTGGTGTCAACAACAAACAAACAACTATACATACCGGGAAAATCAAATGGGTAAGAAACTTGACTCACTAATCACCCAAGGCCTAGCCCTGACAGCATGTTAGAGCATTCAGTCTAAAACCAATTGACAATGGGTGTTGTGACCTCTCAAATATACAAACTAACTTTGGTAGCCCTAATTATTCAATATGGGATGCAAGTTCTCTTAACGGAAAGGATATTTCTTATTCCTCAATAAATTCAACTTTAATACAAATTTACATTGAGGCAGGCTGTTGAACAAGAATTCTTATGTTTCTCTGGTCTTCTCTTTCCCCTAATACTTCTATCCCCCTTTGCTTCCACGAAGAATAAAGAATCCACATTGATAGATACTAAATGCAGAAAGTGGTAGCGGTATCATTATGTTAGGAGTCCTCATGTGATGTGAATTAGTATCATGGATAGGTGGAAAAAAGGGTAATATAAGTCCATTTTAGGAGTCTTTGCATGGATCTGTCTTGATGAGTGTCATTTTTGCTCTGGCCCCTGCTTCCAGTTATATTGAGAATCTGTGGGGTTACCATCTGTCTGTATTGACCTTACTCTTACCAAATTGGAAGACTACGTGTGTTAACATTAATAAATTAATGCACTGATATACTTGTTGGCCTGGAGAGCACGTGTGCACCATCATTGTCCCAGTAGTAAAAATGTAGAATAACACAGTTGTTGTAGAGTTAACGGTGTTAGACAATTGTATTAGGGGATTATTAGCCTTAATTGAATATACATGTATTTTACTTTCATAGAATTACATATTTCTATATCCAAGTGAATCTTTATGGTTGCCATGTTGCTCCTAAATTAAACTTCTGGTCAAAGGATGAAAAAAATACTTTGTCAAGATTAGTGAATGAACTTGCTGGGTACTGGGGAGGGAAAACGTAATAATGCTTATGATTGTCAGTCATGAGATTGTGATGATTAATTGTCCCATTATCAATTAGTTGATTACAGAAACACCAGACTTTCTGGCATCAGAATTTGCGATACAGCAAATATTTACAAGTATCCAAAGTGTTGACATCATTTTTTGTAGTTCGTGAGTTTAATTTTTTTTGCTTGTGCCTAAAATGTCACCTTTTATAAGCCTTGAATGTTCAACACTTTCGACTTTAATTCAATTTCCTCTTGGGAATGCTTTGCTGATGCCGATGTTCATTAGTTAAAGCATCTTTTAAAATGGTACTTGCACTAAAGGGATTTGATTATGCTGATGCACGGAGAAGCATGATGTCTGGTCTGGTGTACTTGGTATTGCCTTTATTCCATTGCTCTGCTTTGTTAATTAGCTCTGGCCTCTGTGCATCTAGTCTTGAATGTGGAAATGATTTTCTCTATTGTGCCAAACATGCAAGTCGTGATTTACTTGTCATTTTGTTAGTAGACCATGTCTGCTTGTGGATTGTCCTTGTTTTATTGTGGTAAACATATGCATTATGTAAACGTTTATATACCCCCCCCCCCTTTTTTTTTCTTCTTTCACCCCTGGATATTTCCACCTTTCTTGTGTGTTAGTCTATTCCATGTTTTGGGTTCCTTCTATCATGTGGTTGACTGCTGATCTTGCTTCTTGTAGATCTTCGGGAGGATAAGCAGTTCTTTATAGACCACCCTGGTGCGGTGCCCATTAGTACAGCTCAGGTATATCCTGTTTCTTCTCATGTTCAAAAAAATCTTGTTATGAGGCCTTTGTATTTTGTTTCTGTGTCTGGTTTTGCACTCGTGGTTTTGCCCCCTGTTAGAAGACCTCACTTCATTCTTTCTCTTGAAGGGAGAGGAACTGAAAAAGCTGATTGGGGCTGCTGCTTACATTGAATGTAGTTCGAAAACGCAGCTGGTGATATATTTTGTTTTCATGTTTAGTTTCCTTGTCAAGTTGAATGACCTCGTCACTGACAGTATTTTTGACAATTCTCACTTGAAATTTCAGAATGTGAAGGCTGTCTTTGATGCAGCCATTAAGGTCGTTCTGCAGCCACCAAAGCAGAAGAAGAAAAAGAAGAGAAAGGGGCAAAATGCCTGCACTATATTGTGATTGGGAAAATAATGTTTGAAGAAAGAGAGGATGACCTATTGGCTGATTCACCCACTTAGTATCTGATTTCTGTGTTACTCTCTTCCCACCTTGAGGAAGTAGCACACTGCTTTGTAGTAGTAACTGACTGCACTGGGGAGCTCCTATGTTCATCAAGTATTTGGTTTGTTGCTTTCAGTTGTAATCTAATACGTATATCAGTGATTTAGATGTGTTTGATGATGTTCCCAACTCCTCTGGAGTTTTATAATATATTTTTTAGGTTTTAGAAGATCTTGTTTGTACTGAACCATTTCTCTTTTGGGCACTTCCCCTAGGCTGACTCAGAGTACGCCGAGAGGTGCACAAAAAATTTGTGGACTGTGTTGACTTGTTTTAATATGAAATTCTATGCATTCTGTTCTTATGTATAAAAAAGTAGTGCACGGTGGTTTTTGGGTTTTTTCCCCTGGGTAAATAAGGTGTTCAAGCTAATTTCCTCCTGCTGTTATGAATTATTTTCAGTGCTTTTTTAAACTGTATTATGTTCAGTGCTTGCTGAAGAGAAACTGTGATTAAATTTCCTGTTGGTATGGGAAAGAATATGATAGGGATTTTATGTGCTTTTATTATCTTTGTGTCGACTGGACTTTACATACATAGTTCTCGATTTTCATTAGACTGATTCTGAGGTCTCTATTACATTCTATAGACTATGAAGTGGCCCCAGATTCCCTTGCAATTGAGGGTTTGAGCTAAGCACGAATATCTTTCCCTTCAGAAAAGTGAATTGCACTGATAGTCAATTTTCTATATTCGTGATTGGTATCTATCACTAAATTTTAGCCACCCTTTAAAAGTAATTCCACAATTAGAATAGGAAAGCCATTGTTTGTTTGTTTATTACAGTAGTGACTGTTACGACATGATATGTGCTGATAAAGTTCGATTCAAATCGAACTCGAACTTGGCTGGGTCTTATTTTTATTCTTTGGGATCGGTTGCATGAACTTTATTCTATTATTTTGCTCTATCGAGGGTTATGTTTTCTAGTAAAAAGTCATATCAGTGTACAAGGCTCCGAAGTCTGAGGTAAATGATAGCTGATCTTAAAGAAAAAAAATATATATATACCTCCTGATTTCCGGTGAACATTAGTTTAACACATGGTGATGCATGATGAGAGATGTGCGTAGCAGATATGTTCAAGTTTTCCTTTACAGTGAAGTTCCAGTTGCCTTCCAATATCAAACCCCTTGATTCTTTACTTACTACTTTTTTCTGGAATCAATACTACTTTCACATGTTCTTAAAAATTCAGTTGACCTTCCTATTCCTTTCCTCCTCTTATTCGACTACCACCTCGTCTACACCACCAATAAATACACATGGTATTCCATTCACCAGGGGTTCATCGATTGTGTCCCTTTTGCTTTCCCATCCTTTCTTGAAAATTTCAGAAGATTTTACCTAAGAAGTTGCTTTAATGGCATCAAAGAGAATCTTGAAGGAGCTCAAGGACTTGCAGAGAGACCCTCCAACTTCATGCAGTGCAGGTTTAAAACTCGGCTTACTCAATCCTCATAATGGCTAGATGTAATCCTTATGATTATTGCTTGTGGTTTTTTTCAGGTCCTGTGGCGGAAGATATGTTCCACTGGCAAGCAACCATCATCGGTCCAAACGATAGCCCTTATGCTGGTGGTGTCTTCCTTGTGACAATCCATTTCCCCCGGATTATCCCTTCAAACCTCCAAAAGTACAGTGTAAATGACGTATTACAGGGTTTTTACATATGATTTTCTTTTTGTCATAGGTCTATACTTGATAAAATCATGATGGTTTGATTACATGCAATGTTCTTAACATATTCTCAATGTTGTCCTGCCAAAATTGTGCGCAGGTTGCCTTTAGGACCAAAGTTTTCCATCCCAACATCAACAGTAATGGAAATATCTGTTTGGACATACTGAAGGAACAGTGGAGTCCTGCTCTTACCATATCCAAGGTGATTTATCTATCAGAGGGCCTTGACATCAGATATAATCTAACTCCCACAACCTATGACATACTCTTATTTTTGGTCTTGTATGTAGAAGGGGCAATCTAGTCGGGTTGTTTCGTGTCATTTGGCGCGTGTATCGAGTATTGATCAACCCTAACCCAACATGTTTTGATTAATCGTATCAGATTGTCTGAAGCTAACTTGATGTGTTTTTTAATTGGGTCACCGTGAATCAAAAATCCAGAGTTTGAATTGTCAGTTTTGCTAGTATATCACCCGCTGGCAGATCGCTTACTCATTCCTTTTCCTATGGTTGTGATTCTTTTCTGTCGGTCTTGTACTTGAGCCGACTCTTGAAAAAAATCATCTAATTTTTTCTTGTGAAACGAGTTTGTCGTGTGAAGATCGGGTTATTCATATTTATTGTTATCGGGTTGTGTAATTCATTATTTCATGCGAGAACTAATTAATCATAGCCCATTAATTGTGTATCTGATTCATGTTGTGTGTCAAAATTGCCCTCCTTGTGTGAAAGTTGAAACCAGTTATGAATCCAAAATCTAAATGTGTCAATTAATGCAGGTTTTACTCTCCATATGCTCACTGCTCACGGATCCAAACCCTGATGATCCACTTGTTCCTGAAATTGCTCATATGTGCAAGACTGATAAATTCAAGTATGAGTTGACTGCCCATATCTGGACCCAGAAATATGCCATGGGCTGAACCCCATATGCCTAAAAAAATTGCACGTTCTCGTTTTGTTTGTCGTAATCTTTCATAAGTTTTCTTGTCCTAGCTTTTTCTATGGTAAAGAATCGAGATAGGTTTATTTCTCTTGTTAAAATAAAAAAAAAAATTAATATGGGTTTTGCTGTTTAAGGCTCTGACTCGGGCATATCTGCTTACAATAAAAAAGGGTGTTCATCTTATTAGTTTATCATTTCATCTAATTTTGTCAAAAAAACACCGAGTGTTTATATAAAGTTCTGCTGAGGATATGGTGCATACCCTCATATAAATTCATCAGCCCTAACCAGTGGCAGATTTGGGGCCCACTCCAATTTTAAATTTTTTTTCGGTTTCATGTAAAAATTTTGAAAATTTTAAAATTATTTAAGATTTGTCTACATTAAAATGTTAGCCAAAAAAACAAATTAGACTTAAATTTTTATAGATATGGATATAGAAAAATTGGATTTGATTGTGATCCAATTTCATTGCATACACACTTACTTATAGATATACTAATTAAACTTAAGTGATTATTTAACAATATGGTATTAAAATTACAATATAATTTATTAAAATTTATGATTGGTTTAATTATTTGGATAAGATTGACTTTTTATTAGAGGATTTTATATCAGTTGTAAAAATTAAATTAGTTGAATAATCGGATTAAGTTTTTAAATCAAATTTAGAACAATTCAAATTTTATTTAAATTTTATCGTTGACAAACATACTAATGATTGATTTGTAAGATGTAACGTGTATTGACGATGGCCATCCCATTGTTCTTAATGGTTACTCGTCCCTAGCCCTAATTGGCTTCAAAAGTTGAAGTTGAAGTAATATAAAAAATACAATAATAATAATATTTGAGGGTAAAAATTGAGAATTTTAAATTTTTTCCGGGATAAAGTGTGACCCCCTTTGTATAAATATACATAAACTTGTTTTAAACGACCACAATTCCACTTTGAAGAACTTCATTCAAACACGCCTTTGTGCCTCCTAGTCCTAGTTGCCACGTTCGAGCCAACGACGACAACCTTTGTTTGTTTTTCAAATTGACTGAGAGTCATGAAGTTAAAAAAGTGTTCAACCTTTAAACTTTGAAATGGGTATGATAATTTTTACCATCTTATTCATTATAATATAAAGTCAATTTCGGACAAGCAGTGCACTTGGTCTATCAGGGTTTTTCCCCTCTCCATCCTCCATCTTTTATGCTAGAATGACTCATCCCCATCTTCATTTTCCTTCCATGAAAGTTATTATGTTAAATAACATATGAATAGTTTATGTTTAAACTTTATTGTCAGTGATGTCACCCTACATAATATTAAGACAATCACTATCTGGTGTAGTGGTAAAAGTATTCTTTTCATAATTATATGGGTGTAGGTAGAGATGCAATTAGAGGTATCAATCAAAACTCTACTTACCAACGAGTTTTTGGTCTAATGGTATTCCTTACCTTGTGAAGACTTTACTTTCTTGAGGTCTAAGAGTCTTGAGTTTTCAGTATCCAATGTGAATTACTAAATTTTCCAACTAAAAAAAAAAAATCAAAGATAGAGATAGAAGAAATCAAGTTTTGATAAGGATTGATCTCTTTGATTATACAAAAAAAAAAAAAAAAAAGCTTAGAGAGAATTAAGAGGGATCAAGGCCTATGTGTTGCAAATCCTAACACTTGCATTCATAAGAAAGTTACATGATATAGCAGAAACCAACCATATATGTCGAATAGATAGGAAGGTTGAGACCATGTGAGAGTGCACGCACATGCAGTATGTATAGCACCGGTCCCATCAGACAAAAAAGAACTTAATAATGTACCCAAGTGCCGTCTTCTCTTTTTTTTTTTTCATAATTAAATGTGTTCAAATTAATTTATACGTATTTAGATTAATCTTCTCTTTAGTCCGATCAAAGACAAGTCATCAACGCTAAAACTATTCATGAGTAATTTATCTCTCATGATTTGATAAATTGTTAAAATTCAAATTTAAAAAATTTGAATTTATAACTCTTTCCCGATATCATTTGAATTACTTTTAAAATTAATAATGTTATCCCTTAGACCATGCCAAGTCACATGGGAAATTGAATTAGACACCCAATTGTCCCCCACTTGTACTATTGATACTTCCAAAAATTGATGGTATTCACGTAGTTGACACTACTCCAAGAAATAGTAGTGTGGTAGGCCTCAGTTGATCTCATTCATTGTTCTCCTTACAAAATGCCTTAATGCATGGCTCCAAAACACAGACAATGAAAGCCTATTTACCATATTAAGACATTGCTTCTTAAGAATTTTTTTAATCATTTTGGGGTTAGTTGCAGGCATTTCAGTTGTATGTAGGTAGGAAGTAGCTAGGAAAACACTCTGGATCCATCCACTTATGAAATAGTATGGAAATTATTTTTTTTTTTCCATAGTTGACACTTTGGTAAGACGGAAACAAATATTTTTTTTAATTTTTATTTTATTGAAAAAATATAAATACATAATATATAATTGATAAATATGATATATTAAAAGATATATAGACAAATAACAAACATTTTAATACACATAATTAACTTTCGATCCACTTTTCCTCTCAATTTTAGAAGGTTTGATTTTCTGAGTTAAAAGAAAAGTTAATCCATTCACTTTTCCATCTTAACTATTTTCCTTCCTTAACAAATATAATATTTTATCTAGATTAATATTATTGGAACATAATTTAGAGACTTAATGCATTATGTTCATTAGATTGATAGTGTTGGGATCTAGTGATACTTTAATGTTGGGACTCATTGACAATCTAATGACCATAATCATTAAGTCCCTAAATTAGGTTTTCAAATTATGTCCTAATAGCATTGCTCATCTAACATTTCATCCTTCTAACATTTCATCTTTCTAACTTTGCATCCTATCGTTTTTTTGTCGTACCAAACAAAGCATTAATATTCATATTATTGGTGAATGGTGAAACATACCTCATATAAATAAAGTTTTGTTTGATCGAATTCCTCCTCGGATTACACAAAACAAAAATATGAATCGGATACATAGAAATAGAAAAGAGATGTTTTCTATTCATTACAAATATAAGCTTTTTCTACATCCATAACCATTCTCCTTTCGAAAACTTCTCTGAGGAATTATCTAAAAAATAATCGACAAAAAGAACAAATATCGTTAATGATAGTTGATATATTTATATTTTATTTATATTATAACTTGAGCATCACGAATTAAGTTCATGCGGGAAAAAATAATTATTGTATCTTACTCTTCTTATATATTGCAATTGACTGTCTTTTTTTTTTTTCAATTGCTTCAACTCGATATGCAGCACTAAAAAATTTTGGTAACTCCATCACACCAAGTGAACTGCTTTTCAAATCTTACATTCACATGGGTTAAAGTTATAAGAATAATACTAAGTATTCCATTCTTCAAAGAGAAGAAGACACTTGTTTTTCTCCTTGTTCATAGCTGAAGACAATTGACTTGAAAAGTCTGTTAGACGTGATAGTACCCATTGTTTACTCTCTACATCTGCTGACGTGGATAAAATTTGTGATGAAAAAGACATCTTACCAAACCTAAGGGATGAAGGGTATTTCTGTCCTGAAAATAAAAACTAAGATGACTATATGGAGTATAAACCATTTCCTAAAGTAAATGCAGAGGAATGCTTACCATATTTGAGGTTGAGTTCTTAAGATAGTTTTTTATTACAGGAATGTTAATGCCGATCAAAATTAAAGCTTAAATAATATAGCAGTTGCTAATATGACAAGATTAACTGTCATATCAGCAAAATCTTTTCGTCTTCTTCAAATTAAGGACAGATAAAGTAAAATCTTTTTATCTTCTCCGCTTCCCTAACATACACATACAAGATTTTGTTAAGAAAAGAAATGACATAACAGTTAGTTTTGTCATATCAACAACTGTCATATCATTTAAGCTATTTATTTGATACTTAATTTTGGTTAACATAGTATTACTATTTTTATTATGACTTGAACAGGTGCATTTTGGTCTTAAAAAAGTTTCTTTTACGTGATGAAAGTGAGACTTTTAATTAACAAACTTTAACTTAGAGATGCACATTAACTCTTAGGTATCATCAATGACTAATCAACAAAAATTAGGTTAGTTTTTGACCGACTGACGTCTACTCCATAAGAGGATATGCATGCCCAAAAGGCTTTGGGGATAATGTTGACATTACAGTAAGATATGGAAGGGGGGGCTTTATCATCTTTATGATTAAGAATGAAGGTATGCCATGGTAGGGTTATTCTTTGATATTTTTGTACTAAATTATTAATTTTTATTAATATACTAGTTATTCTCCGTATCTGAAGACACGAAATAGTAAAAAAAATGGTCAACATATTTGTATTTATATCTAAAACTAAATTATTAACATATATGAAAGATAAAGAAATTTAAGTACTGATTGTAGTGGGGATGGACGATAGTAGTTGTGGTGGGTGACAGTGGTGATGATGGGAGACGGTGATAGTTGTGGTGGGTAAGGCAATGAGCGTGGTGGTGGTAGTAGCTGTGGGTGGCAATGATAATGATGATGATGATAGTGGTGGTGGGTTTTGAGTGACGATAATGGTAGTGGTAATTGTGGGTGGCAATGATGATGGTGGGTTTTGAGTGACGATGATGGTAGTGGCAGCCGTGAGTGACAATGGTGATGGTGGTGGTGGAACGACAGTAATAGTGGTGATGGTGGAATGACGACGGTGGTGGTGGACAGTGATGATGGTGGTGATGGACGACAATAGATGCTTCTAGGCGAAAGTGTGATGAGTGGTGGCGAATGATGGCGATGGTAAGCATGGTGGGGGTAGATAACAGTAGGTGACTGCAATAGTTGACGATGATAGGTGGTGGTGGTGGTGGTGGGTGGGGGTAGGTGACAGTGGCTGGTAGTGATGGGTGGGGGTGGGGGTGGGGGTGGGGGGTGCTGATGGTGGTAGTGGGGATGATGGTGGTGGGTGGTAGTCATGGACGACGATGGTAATAATCGATGGTGGGTGACTATGGTGGTGGTGGTGGCGGCGGTGGGCAATGAGAGTGGGGTGGGGATGGAGGTGGGACAATGACGATGGTGATGGTAGTTATGATGGTCATGGGAGTAGTGGTGGGGCGGTGGTAAGGGTGATGATGGGATAGCAACGGTGGTGATAAGGTGCGACAGCGGTGGTGATGATGGTAGGGTGTGGTGGTGATAATGGTAGGGTGTGGTAGTGGTGATGGTGGGGCGGTGGAAGTGATGGTGGTGCTGAGACAGTGGTGGTAGTGGTAGTGATGATGGTAGAATAGTGGTGACAATGGTAATGGTTATGGTGGTGGTGGGGCAATGGAAGTGGTGATGGTGGTGACAGCGATGGTGATGGTGGTGGAGTGGTGGGTATGATAGTGGTGGGGCGATGGGGGTGAGAGTGGTGCTGGTGTTAGAAATAGTGGTAGGGTGGTTACAAACACTATTTTTTTTTTAAGTATTTATGAGAAATAATTTCTAAAAGTACTTTTAAGAAGTCACTCCAAACACACCATTAGAAGCTTATTTTTCATATTAAATTTGAATTGTTAATATTAGTCGTTAGATTAACTTTAAAGTAAAATTTAAATCGATCTCAATCGCGAATAGTAAAAATTATTTTATTTATCTTTTAAAATTTGAACTGTATTGTACTTTATTATATAAATTTTTCTTACTCAGAAGGTCGACTTTGGCAAGAGGAAATGATAAAGTTGTTGTATGACCTAGTAACTTCTCATGTGCAAAATAAAACTATGTAATTTTTATCATTTACATACCCGACAATGGTGTAAATCTCAAGTGCTAAGCCTCTTTCCTTTTTTCATTTTTCAGAGTTTTGAAGTTAATTTTGCAATTACAACTTTGAAATACTAAGGGTCAAATTGTCAAATAATAGAAGAGAAATGGATATTATCATAATTTTTTTCTAAAGGAAAAAGATCCGTGTGGGACTTTCCACGGGACTAATTTGATTTAAACCAAAGAATAATGCTAGATGAACTTAAAAATTAGACTTGATAATCTCAACTATTGAATAGGTAGTGAGTTCCAATAAATATTAGAACCCACAGTAAAATCAATGCTTAAAATTATCAAGTCTAATTTTTAAGTTCATGTAATATTGCTCGCTCTTTGCTAGGTTCAACTTCCTCTACTTTTCCCTCCGCTCCCCTCTCCTACCAAAAAAAATATAGTAACGTTGTAGCAACATCCCGTCGTCAACCCGCAATAACCGGTTGAGAGTTCTTCGGCCTATTTGTCGGTCGTTAAAAGTTACCGGATATCATGGGTTTCCCTCGAAATATTGCCTGTTTTATTAACGGACTCTAACAAAAACGATAATACACACAATAACCAAATGAAAATCTCCAATTCCTCATCTCTCTCTATATAAACACCGCTAAAATTTTCTCTCTCAATTTTTTTTTTCCGGAAATCCTCTCACTTGCCGACGCTTTCCCACACCTTTCTCGCTCATCACCTGCTCTCTGATTCTTCAAATCTCATTAAAAATGTTCTTAATGGTAAACCCACCCATTTGCTTAACTAAGCTTTTTGGTCAGCATGAGACCCACATTTACAATCTTTATTGTTTTGTTCGTTCAAGTTGGTTGGCTGGCGGCAATTTGATTTTTAAACGATGGTGGCTTTGAACGACAAATGGGTTCGAATTCTAGGTGCATTTCTGTTGTCGGGTTGTGCTTTTTTTTTTCGAATTGACGTATAGTATTTGATATTATATCTCAATGATACAGTGGTCTTATAGGCCTTGTGGCCCTTTTGGGTTTTGCTTTTACTTTTATGTTCTTGGTGGAAATGAGAATTTTCTTTTGAAATTGTTTAATACTCAGATTTGGACTTTCTTATTGTAATCTGCTAAGGGGTATCGTGAAATTCACAATAAGAATCTTCGGGCTTTAATGTGCAATACAATTTTATGGTGCACTATATTTGACCTCGTACGAGTCTTCAATATTTGTGGAGCTCTGTAACCGTGAAAGTACTTTGGTGCAGATTTTGATGTGATTATATCAAATAGAGAGATGGAATTTGAAAACGTTCTGCTAATTCAGGGAAGAACAAGTATCTAATGATGTTTTGAAAGTGTTCGAGGTACTTACTGTCCATGAATTAGGAAAGAGCACAATGATAGTTGCAGAGCTTAATACTGTAGAGAAGAGGAATGTGCTGGTTGGAATACGATTCGATTCCTATACCAAAGAGCTGCTGGACTGGGCTCTTGTCAAAGTGGCCAATCCAGGAGACCGCGTTGTTGCACTTCATGTTTGTAGAAATTCTGGTATTGTTTGCACCTACCCTGCTAAATCCATGATCTCCATTGAATTGTTATTTTAAAATTCATTGAATTTGTTTGCTCAGAGACTTAAGTAGCTAAATGTGTTTTTCATTTCAGATTCCATTTCAAAAGACAAGCCATTATTGGATGGATATTTGGATGATTATGAAGGCTTATGTAGTGAAAAACAGGTTTGTTTTTCTGCAATTTTCATCGGTATCTCCATTTGGGGGAACATAAAGAGAAAAGAAAAGAAAAAATACTGATTTTCTTTTTTCATGCTCAGGTAGATCTCGTTGGTAAGGTCTTGAAAGGAAGTTCAATCCGAAAAGGTTTGGTCAGAGAGGCCAAAAACTGTGCTGCCGTGGCTGTAATTGTAGGGATAAGTAGGCACAATGCTCTTGGGTAAGTAGTGGTAGAAGCTCTACTCATATCCAGTTAGGATAAAATTATTTTTAGTTAGGCTTAACAGAGTATCTTTCAGATGTTGGGCTTCAATTGCTAAATATTGTGCAAAGAAACTGCCTCCAACAGCTGAAGTTCTGGCTATCCACAATGGGAAAGTTGTGTTCAGAAGGTGTTATAACTCCCAACTACCAGGTTGGTATCCAATCCTTTGAATAAAAAACATTCAGCGGACTATTCAGAAGTTAGTCAATGTGTATACCTAATTGTGTTAGGTTTCAATGGAGACCCAAAGCCAAGCTTTTACTTTGTTCAAAGTCCCACTTTCAAAGATAGCCAGTACGAATTTGATGATTCTGAGACATCTGAGGTGGTAAGACCCAGTCATGAAGTGATTCAGAGCTTTGAAGATGAATCAATAGATAGACATGTAGACTCGAAAGACGGTGAGTTCAGGCATGTTGAAAAATTGAACAAACCTTCTTTGAACTCGATTTCTCAGTTCATGGGGGACCTTGGGCAGCAGAGGCCTGGTTGGCCTCTACTCCGAGCAGCTAGCTCATTGACACCTCCAGCCATGGAAACAAGAAAATTGTCAGTGGTGCAGTGGGTAATGACTTTACCAAGACGATCTCCACCGGAAAGTCCTCAATCCAAGCCTGGTTCTAGTGCAAAAACCACTTTTCGTACTTGGAATATGGAAAGTAGCAATTTTGTGGACAAGAGCAAAGAGCATAGTTTATCCAAGTTGGGTGAGCTACCGGAAAATTTGGATCTTCTCCTCAAAACAAATTCATCTGGCTGCACATGGTTCAGTCATGATGTTCTGAAAAACTGGACTTCTCAATTCTCCCCAGGTGATTTTAGCTCTAAATTCTAGTAGTTTTTGTGTACCATTTCTTTATATTTTTTTCTCAAAGGTATTGTCTTCCTAACACCTACTTTTGCTGCAGAAAATCTAATTGGTATAGGGGGCTGTAACCGTGTATACAAGGGAGTTCTTCCTGATGACAGGCCAGTGGCAGTAAAGATTTTGAAGTCGTCCAATGAAGCATGGAAGGATTTCACCCAGGAAGTGAATATTATGACGTCGTTGAAGCACAAAAACATAACGCCTCTACTTGGAATTTGTATAGAAGACAATGATCTAATCTCTGTGTATGATTTTCTGTCCAAAGGAAATTTAGAGGAAAACCTACATGGTAAGCTTATGTCTGATTTTTTTTGATATCCTTTAATTGGTAAAATTCTTAAAAACCAGCTTATACAAAGTTTTTCTCCAAGTCAGGCCATGCCAAAGTGAAGCCAGTATTGTCATGGGAAGTGAGATTTAATGTGGCTGTTGGGATTGCTGAAGCCTTAAATTATCTACACAATGAGTGTTCTCGGCCTATCATTCATAGAGATATTAAGTCCTCAAACATTCTTCTCTCTGATGAGTATGAATCACAGGTGCTTAATCAGACTTTTATAAATGGTAGTGGTGGCAGTTGAAAATTCAATATTCATACACAGTTGCTGATTGTTATTTTCTTCTCACAGTTATCAGATTTTGGGCTAGCAACATGGGGACCTACAACTTCATGTTCCCTGACTCATAGCGACGTAGTTGGAACTTTTGGCTATCTCGCTCCCGAGTACTTTATGTATGGTAAAGTCAGTGAGAAGATTGATGTCTACTCTTTTGGGGTGGTTCTTCTGGAATTGCTATCGGGGAGAAAACCAATTGATGCTGAGTGCCCCAAGGATCAAGGAAGCTTGGTCATGTGGGTAAGGACCCTCTCTGTCTCCTCAACATGCAATTTAGTTCCAGTTTATGTATGTAACAAAGTATCTCATTCAGGCAAAACCGAAACTCGAGAGGGGGGACCTAACCAGTATACTGGATCCAAATTTGAATGAAAATGTTGACAACGCTCAGATGCACAGAATGGCCCTTGCAGCAACCCTTTGTCTTACACAAGCAGCACGCCTTCGTCCTAAAATGAACCAGGTAATTACAGCCGCACTGTTACATTGATCCATAACTACCTTGAGCATGTCTTTAGTTTTTAATATTTCTTGTTATATTGAAGTTTCTATCCATTGATTTTTTTTCACCTCCTTTAACAATCCAGATCCTGAAGATCCTAAGAGGGGATAAAGATGTGGACAAAGGGATGAACAACCTTGTTGGAGATCAAAATGATTCAGGAAACCAGGATAATAACGACGATGATGAAGTTTATCCAGATTCAAGTGTAGAGTCCCATTTGGGTCTTGCATTGCTTGATGTAGATGGCACCTCTACATCATTCAGCAGTGTGGAGCAAAGCTGCCGTCTTTCCTTAGAAGAATTCTTGAAAGAAAGGTGGAGCAGATCATCAAGCTTAGATTAGCTTTGCCTGTTCACAAGAAAATTCTACCACCAGCTTAGGTAGTGTGTGTAATTTACCCTGTACAGTTATAAGGAATTGAGAAAGAGAGAGAGAGAGAGAGAGAGAGAGTCTGCACCCAATGATGAGGTGTATATGTAGACTACATTGGCACTCCATGTTATGATAATCAGTGAAACTTATTTAACATAATTTTACAGCTTGTACATATAAAACCTTAAATTTCCCTTAGATGTAACTTAATTGTTACCCAAAATAAATTTACATATTAGCAAGTAAAACCATGTTCTTGCTTTGATCTCAGGCAAGACTAGCAGAAGATTCCTAATTTCCATCGACACTAGTTTTGCAGAGTGGCAGTGTCCAGGTGCAGTAATACCAACTACAGCTTCTGAAAAAGGTACAATTAAGGGCAAAGCACGAACAGCAGTATCTGGCAAGTTTTGCGTAAATGGATATAGAAGACTGAATCCATCGTTGCACAAGCATACACCTTAACCCATCTGGGTAGTTTGGATGGAAAGATTTCAGGATTACGACCTCCTAAGACTCAAAGAGCTACTCTTGATCATTCCATTCAGGCCGCCCCATTCGTGAGATTTTGCATTGTGCCACAATCAGAGAAGCCTAATTGCAGTGATTTCTGTCTCAACAGGGATGACAATCCAAGTTATTCCAGAGGTAGAATAGCGAGACTCTTTGCCAGTTCTAGGATCTAATAGAAAAGCTCTGAACATTTGGAAAGTAAGATAGACCTTCCTCTGTAAAGACTAGGAGCCAGAGCCAAATCTACCATCTCTTGGACAGCAAACTTTCTCGGTTTCTCCTTGCAAGAGAAGACCTTACTTATTTACTGGACGCAAGTATGCCGCAAGATAACAAAGGCTACAAGCACAAATACAATCAAAGAGGTATAAAAGGGTACTCACCATTATTATGGAAGCCATTAAGAGATGGGCAAGGGCTGTGTTCTTGTTGTTCAGGGTACCATCAGGAGTGTTATTGGGATCCAAATTCTATTCATTACACTTTCACTTAATTTCAAGGTATATCACCTATCATATATGGGTGAGTATCCTACCCATAAATAGTAGGTCTCTCGCTTAAATCTAATGCAAGTGATGGATAAAATCTCAATCCAGTTATAGGGGCCATATCAAATTAAAGGCTTCTCCTCATCAGCTCCTCATCTTTTTTTCTATTTTGATTAAATAATTAGAAAAAATTAATCTTTTGAGTATCTTCAAAAACATACAATACCTAGTAACTAAATTAGGCCTAATTTGTGGGAGTTCTAGGAAAATTTAAGGGAAAATTTCATCCAAACTCTCTCTAGTTAGGTCTAAATTTAATAACACCCGTCCCAATTCTGAAACTTTAATGCACCTCCTTTTGGTTTATTCTTTCAAATTAAAGACACCCCCTTAACGATAATTATTAATTCAGTCAGTACAAAAAATAGCGGTTTGATTATAATTTTTTTAAAAATGTAAAAACTACCCTTCCTTATGTAAATATACTAAAATGTCCTCAACTATTTTTCCCACTAAATATACTACATTTTTTGTTGTTTGTGAAAATCCAAAACGACCGGGGGTTGCTGGAAGACATAGAGAAATTGAAGTCAACCATTATTCTTCAACTTGTCCTCCATAGTGATCGATTACTATCTAAGTTGTAAAAAAAAAATTATTTTTTTTTTTGGAGATTTGTAAATATTTTTAATGCAGTTTTTTTAAAAAAAAGTCATGCGAATATTTTTAAATTTTTTCACGCAAACTTTTTTTTAAAAAAATTCATCCAAAACACCTGTTAGACTTTTGAATCATTAAGTCCATTTTCTTATAAGTTGTTGGGTAAAGGTATATTTTTCGATTTCTTATTTTTTTATATTTCCTAAGTTTTCTCGGTGGGTATGTTTTTTGTTATTCGTTATAAATTATAGGGTTTTAAATTTATTTTATAGTTAAAAATAATTTTCTATAATAAAATTTCAATTGATAAAATCAATCTCAAAATTCAAGTAATTTCTAATTTTTCTACTATCGTCTGTCCTCCATAACATCGCCTGACCACTCTTCATACATCACCCTTCATATATAAAAATTTAATATTATTTAATAAAATTTAATATTAATTAAATAAATTTAAATATTAATTTGGTTTTAATTTAATAAAATTAAATATTAAATTGGTAAATCTAAAAGTTAATATAATAGAACTAAAAAGGAATTGTATTGAAATTTTAGAATCAAGAAAAAGTATGGTTAAAGATAAGTCTATTTACAAAGGGTGTCGTTAAAGTTATATCTATTTATAAGGAGTATGAATAAAATTTACTATCTAAAATATTCAGGGATATTTTTGTAAATTAAAAATTGATATTAATGTCGTAATCCGACAAACAATGACAAGAGGTGATAGTGAAATTTTAAAATTGAGATGAGGTGATATTGAATTTAAACCTAATTATAAGGAGTGTGAATGAAATTTTCCCGAAATCTAATCAGATACATGAACAGCTTCTACTGACTTCATTGGACTTGCACCCATAAAAGAAACAATTGATTAATTGTTGAATTGTTACCGTTTACATGTAAGAAGTGAGGGTCAGATAAGGTTCTCCACTCTGACCCTTTCCCGATACCATATAATTTTAAAATTGACATGTTTAATAAATATGTATAATAAATAATTTTAATTAATATTTGATATTTAAAATATAATAAATATTTTTTTTATATGAATCTTTACACGAGCACGATACGAAAATACCGACACATGGTTTATATGACACGACACAAATTACCACTCCTACGGTCTGAGATTCAAAATATATTATTTTTTATTGAAAGAATAATCTAATTTAAAAAAAAAAGGAATTTTTTCTAGAGGTTTCTATGTCAAAGTTCAAATTTCGATTCTTGCAAAAAAAAAAAAATTTAATTTACTCGGTGCAAGTGATTCTATTGTGTCAATAATTGTACATTTCTAAAAATTGAAAAAATAATAATGTTAGATACACTGAAAATCTAAAGAGCAATGTTATGAAATTTAAAAAATTATAATTCAAATGCATATTATTCTTTGGATAAGTGGATCCTATCAATTTTTTTAATAGGTCTACTTATCCCACACTCATTTAAAGAATATGCATTTGAGTTTTAATTTTTAGATTTTATTTGAATTATATATCATTTTACAAATCTAAAATAGAAGAGTAGACGATCTCATTTCTTAATTATTATTTGGCGCCGTTAATTCTACTTTCGCAACGCACGTTATGGAATAATTACAGATGACACCCCCAATCAAATACGTATAAATACAGATATGAAGACTTTTTTAGTACACTCTTTCTCTCTGTGTTGGAATCTCTGAACCAATGGCCACGGTCAGTCCTCGTTTCGCTTCCGCCATTAAAATATCGCCATGTAGTATTGCTATTGCCTTAACCTCTTTCTAGCCTTTTCTTTTCTAGGGTTTCTATTACTCATTTCATCACAATCTCTGCTCTCTCTCTCTCTCCCTTCGACACCCACCACCTCTTGATTTCTAGGGTTTGAGAATTCGAATTCGTGGTCTTTCGTCGCCATTTTCGGGCGAAAGAGCTTGATTGCTACAATTGTACTCGAATCGTTCCCTACATTTGCGTCATGGTAAGTCTTTTCCTATCGATTCTGTCTGTTCTTACTTTTTTTTTTCCCGGAAAGTATGTCTGTTCTTGATTTTTTAAGTTCCTGAGTGTTTAGTACTGGCTATTCTGCGATCCCGTTGGAATATCGAAATTGTATGTTTTTTTACTGGAAATATTCAGTGTCTGTGTAATTTCTTTACGGTTTGGACTTATTTCTTGATTGACTTGCTCTCGAACCCGGTGCGGAACTCACTGGAACTTCAATTATTAAATGCTTTAAGCTCAAAGTCCTAATTTTTAATGTCTGGTTGCCTCTTTTTTAGGTTTCATTGTCTTCTGACCTGACAAGGACTTGAGACTCTACATCTGACACTACGTAGCAAAATTTTATCTAGGTCCTGGTCAGAATTGTTACTTCATCGCAATCTTCGATCGTAATTTATTAGTTTGCTAACGGAATGGACGACGGAGAGCTTGATTTCTCGACCCATGAAATGTTTTCTAGTTCAAATATTGGTGATCTCCCAAGCAGCTGTTCGATGGATAGCTTTTTTGAGGAACTTCTCAAGGATACACATGCCTGCACTCATACCCATACTTGCAACCCACCAGGCCCTGATGATAACCCTCATACACACACTTGCTATCATGTGCACACCAAAATTGTACCTGCTCAATCTGAAGATAAGATTCCTAGTGATGATACTGCAGAATCTGCCGACAAAAAGGCAAAGAAACGTCCGTCAGGCAATCGGGAAGCAGTCCGCAAGTATCGTGAGAAGAAGAAGGCACGGGCTGCGTCTTTAGAGGATGAAGTTACTAGATTGAGAGCTTTGAATCAGAAGCTGTTGCAGAGGCTTCAGGGTCAGGCTGTGTTGGAGGCTGAGATTGCAAGGCTCAAGTGTTTGCTTGTGGACATTAGAGGTAGGATTGAAGGGGAGATTGGAGCTTTTCCTTATCAGAAGCCGTCCAAGGGTGGAGATGTGTATCAGAATCTAGCTAATGCCAACTTGCCGGGTGCATATGTGGTGAATCCTTGTAACATGCAATGTGATGATGAGGCTTATTGCCTTCATCCAGGAGTGGAGGGGAAAAATGGAGAAGGCGCAGCAGTAAGCGGACTAGGTCTTGGAGGTTGTGAATTTGAGAGTATGCAATGTTTGGGGAATCAAAATTCTGGATTGAAGGAGTTCCCTGGTTGTGGACTTGAGAATGGTGTGCCTACTGTCAATCATTCCAATGGAAATAAGAAAAAAGGTGAAACTTTGATTACTGTTATTTCCTTATACTTCGGGTTATTTCCTCATGGATATAGGATAACTGTGCATGGTTGTTTCATCATTACATGGTTTAATGTGTTTGCTAATTTTTTATTTTCAACGTGGCAATCTGTGACCGATTGCTTGTCTTGCTATTTGTGTATGTACTAAAATTTTGAGGTTCTTGTAGGCTGCAGCTGATCCCTTCTGAATTATGGAAAATTGGAAATGATGGAGTCAATTTTAAAAATTCAAGGTGGTAATTACATCAAATGCAAAGTTGATCTAATTGTCTTTCTATGTTGGATACTTGCACATTACTCATTTATCCATCAAATACCCTAGCCTTGTGGCAAATTTTATATTGATAATGACCTTCAATGTTTGTTATGAACAAGGCCACAATTCACAGGCTATCAACTGAGGAAATTGCACAAAGTTCTCTATCCAAGAGAACAGATTCACAATTGGATGCCCAAAACTAGGGGTCAAATTTCCCTGAGAAACCAAGTGGAATAAACCCAAAATACCATGTTTCCTAATACAATAGGTTTCTTATAGTGGATTCTAAGACATCTACCTTTCCAAAGCCCAACTAAGAATAAGTTTTTGAATCAGTCTCTTTCTTACAGTGGAATAGAAGACACCCACAACAAATATAAACTTTTGAAAAAAATTTATCTTCAGTTAATTATTCCATCCTCAATTTGGAAAACTTTATGGGCACCCAAAATATCATCTCTCTCTCTCTCTCTCAATTGTAATAGAGGCTTTGTCTAAAGTGTGTTGGGTACGTCCCTCAAACTTGAAACTTATGCATTTTGTTAGTTGCTGAGTGACCTGTGCAAGAAGCAGCACATGGAGCCACACAAATTTGTATGTATATTTATATATAGTTATACATTACTCAAAATGCCTTTTTAAGTCATCTTTTAGTGTAGTCAAGTGAATGTCAAAACTAGAATCACCATTTCATGATTTTGTTGATACACACGTACACGGATCTTACTTCAGGAGCATCTTGTGATATAAATTTAGCTTCAAACCTAGAATTACTATTTTGTGATCTTTTTAATACACACATATATACACACGTATATGTAAATAATACCCGTTTTTGGTTTTCGTTGATATCTTGATGATAGGGACATGGAAGGTTATTTCTTTGATTGATGTCCTTAATGATTTCAAGAGTCTATTGATAAGAGGAAATGGGTTTGTGAGTTGTCGGCGGTGTTTTCTTGTAAGGTTTTTCTTGGCTCTATTATTGATGATTCTTCGTATCCTTACTTTTTGCCGACTATCATGATTTGGAAAGTCAAAATACCCATTAAAGTGAAAGTTTTCGCATGGATTGTTGCACATGGTAAGATTAATATCAATGAGATGCTTCAAAAAAGGAGACAACTTATCTTTCCCCTCAATGGTGTGTAGTAAAGGTGATTTTAAAAGCATTGATTATTGATTCTTACACTGTCCTATTGTTGGGTCTTTATGGCATAAGTTGTTTACCTTGGTGGGTTTGAGTTGGGTGTCTCCTTTGTCATCTACTTCATTGTTTATTGAAGCTTTGAAAGACTTTGGGTGGAGTAAAAAAGGAGTGACTCTGTGGAATTGTGTACTTGTGACCTTCTATCTTTGAAAATGCAAGAATTTTCGAAGAAAGAAGCGAGGATGTGGTTGGATTATGGGATCATATTCATTTCATAGCACCTTTATGGTCATCAGTTTCTACAGCATTCAAAGGAATCCCTTTGTTTAGTATTTTGGCTGGATGGAAAGCTTCTTGTGCTTGATTATTTTTACTTTTTTCCTTTTGCTTGTTTTCAGTCCATTGGTTGGATTTCTTATCCAACTCTTTCTATGTTTTTTGCAAGTTTTTATTAATAAAACATATATGTTTCCTATCACAAAAAAAAAAAAAAAAAATTTGTGATCTATATATATGTTACTAATATGTTGTGGTGTCTAAAAGAGTGCCAGTGATATCTCAATTTTGTCAGAATTTGTATTTATAGTCCTCATAGTGCATATTTTTGCAAGGTGATCTTGATTGAAGACAAGCCTTGACAAAATAATTAACTAGCTTTCCGCTTCATCTTAATGTTGCACATACTTGTGTAATGAGGAATGTGCTTTAGTCCTTTTTAATTGTATATGATTTCAGTTGTTATGGTTTAAGTAGTTAAAGTTAATATTTGAAGAAGATAAGTTTATGGTATCACAGTTTAACATGAGGCTTCACTGTTATTAGTTTCTTTTAAATATCGGTGATGCAAAGAATGAGAAGTAAGATCTCCAAAGATAGTAAACATATAGCAAATAAATAAATTTTAACTTTTAAATTGGCTATTAGATTTGTGGATGCATACAGTTTAATTTTGGGTGTGTGTGTGTGACTTGTACACCAGTGGTCTCCATCTACATTGAATGCAAGATGATGTTAAGAAATAGAGTGAATAACCTATTATTAATGGGTTTGAACTGCTTTTTAGTTATGAATTAGTTTTAAGTGCTGGCTGAGTCCATGATTTAGGAAACAGACTACCTTGATACTTAAGAAGCAGACTCTCTCGGGTTACTCGTGATAATTGGTTCCCACGTGATTGCGTTTATCCAAGGGGATGTTGACTCCAATATTTTTTTATTTTGGGGGGGGGGGGGGGGAGGGGTTGGAGATGTGTTACATTCCTATTTCTTGCCAAGTAATACTTTCTTTTGTTCATTTATCAATATAATACTTATCATTTTGTGTCTTTGATCTTCCTTCTTTCAGGAGGAGGACGTACAGCAACAGCTAGTTGAAGAACTTGTACGGCGGAAGTACCTCTTTTCTTGAAGTTAATTATGTTCTTTCTCTATACCCAACTGTTGGGTTGTTGGAATCTCCTACACTAATAAGACAGTATCAGCTTGGTTTGCTGCTCTCTATGTAGTGATTTTATCTGTTTCTGTTCATCAGGTTGTCTTTGTAAAGTGTAACACTTGCAGGAGTGATGGATTTTGGTTTTTTTTGCTATGCAGCTTTGAATGCTTTTCTTCGTCAGCCTTTGCTATTATTTACAGAGATGCAAAAATTAGTTATTCTAATTATCTGATGGTGTTGTTTGCGTTTTTTGTTTTGATCTTCTAATTCCTTGACGAAATTATGGTTGAATGTTAATGGTGTGATGTCTTTTATGTTACTCTGCCATCGTCTGCAAACAGTTCCATAGTTCGCTGTTGTGAGTTTCAGTAAGGCTTTTTGTTATCCTAATTTTACTTGTCTTGTAATGTGAATAGGAAGATTAACAGATCAACGTGTGTCTTTGTGAGATGCAACTTACTGGTAAGATTATTTATGGGAGCAAGGGGCGGGGGAGAGAAGGGGTGGGGGCTTGATACATAAAGAACAAACATTATGTACATGATATGACTCCTTTCTTGGCTGTGAGTGTAATGATTTATTTATTGGCTCTGGCCTGTAGGGTGCTATTGCGAAGCCTTTGGATTGGAAAATTGGCAAATAAAGAACATTCCAACCAAATCCAGCATAGCCTTCTTCAGTTCTTCAACGACCCCATGACAAAATAGGAAAGCTCACAGATTGCACAAAATTTGAACGTTAAATATGGTTGACCACCATATCAATCCACAACTTAAAAAATAACTTTGCCAGTCTGAAGATTTTCAGGCAGATACAGGCATTAATCCACCAAACTCACAACACAACTTGAGTGGGATGATATGCCTCAAAGCTGATTCTTAATATAACATTATTAGCCGATAATCAACAGTTTTGCATGTCATCATCGTCACGATAAATGCTCTCAGCCAACTGCCAGACCTGAAGGGCATTGTCATCTGCCACACTTGAAATTACCCATGGCTCATTCTTGTTCCACGAGAAATCAGATATCTTTGCTTTGTGACCACCGTGAGAGAAGAGAAGCTCAGGAGGACCATCTTCAGCTTCTCCTTCCAACTGCTCATCTCCAATCCTGTAAGGCGTGACTAAATCAGTTGCAAAAAAGCAAAAATTGCACCGCATATAATCTCAACACTAGGAATGTTAAGCATGAACTGAACAATATAGAGTCAATTGCCATTATAACTGACCGGTTTATGGATTGATGCACATATAAGTCACAGATGCAGCATGCGTAAGGATTTAACCAAATCAACAAACATTGGCTTCATAAAGGAGCTCCACTATAGGTTTTCCATTGATCTTTTTCATGGATAACACATAACAGCAACAATGGAGAGTAAAGGGAAAAGTGGTGAATATTATTTATTTATAAATTGATTTCCTTTTACGAAATCAGTTGGGAAGAAAGCAAGTGTGCTTCAGTCAACTTCAAGGGTTTTGGAATAGACCAAAAGGGAATTTTGGGAATCTTTAAATATAGGGGAAAATTACATTTGACCCTCTCAATTATGACCCTTTTTTCACGCTGCCCCCCTCAACTATCATGTTTTTCATATTGCACCCTCAACTATGTAACTAATTTTCCATCCCCCAATTATTAACATCCGTTACATATTTAACAGAAAATTGTTTCATTTTGCCCCCCGAACTATATAATTTTTTCATTTTACCCTGACATGCCAGCAATTTCCATCCAAAAAGATGACAGACGTTTGCAATTGGGGACTGTGAAATAATTCAAGTAGTTGAGGGGAGTTCAGTAGTTTAAGAGGAAAAGTGAAATTTAGTCCATAGTTTAAGGCCTCAAAGTGTAATTTACCCTTATATATGGGAATATATATGTTACATGTTATATATGTTCGTCTAGGGGAAAACTCAACCCTAGACGAACATATATAACATGTAACAAATCAAATGCATTACTGATGTTTCTAGCATCAAGTTTAGTGTAAAATACCTATTAAGGTCCCAAACCATCAACCTTCGGTCATCAGCAGAAGATGCCAACACTGTTTCATGGTTAGGATCCCATTCTACTTGGAATACCTCTTCTCTGCAAAAAAACACAGCTCCATAAGCAAGAACCAACAGTTTACACAATATTGTCGAAAAGAAATGCATAGAAAAATTGTTCCAATACTAGCCACAAAGTTCAGTTAAACATGAAATCAGTATTACATTTGTGTGGCATCTGTGGACACAACAAACTTTTTTCAAAAGTCACATCAATTCACTTGGTATTGTCACAACCAAATTTAAAATTTAGAAGTTGGCAAGCCTACCAATTAAGTAAAAATAGGTAAAACCTACAGTTGAAGGCCACATAAAATTGAAGACCCTAGTGTGGCACTGATTTTGGACAAGCTATGTTGAGCTGAGTTGTTCAGTCTAGTGTCTTACTTATTTTGTTTGCATGTATGGGAACTCAGCTTACATTAAAACTTTACTTTTCAACCCAACTCAAACATACCTTTTATACCAACCAAAAACACTAACTTTGATGCATGGTATTCAATAAGGTAACGGTTATCTCAGACCGTGTTCTAGAAAAGTGGCCTACTTGAAGAAGGGACAGGAACTCTTGTCTTTCAACCCCACTACACTCTAATGCACAAAACTGCTTTCTCCACTATGCTTCTTTTAAGCCCATATCTTTTCTTGGAATATGAATATTACCGTTTTGTAAATAATTACTCAATTTTAGCCTTATCTTTTGGCTCATAGTAAGTAGTAACTGCCCTCATGTTGCAACATATTCTTAAGTCCAAACAGAAGCATCAATCCATTATGGCAAAGAGAAGTAAGACGATAACAACAGCAAAACAACAATAAACACAAAAACACAAGGCAAAAACAAGATTTACATGGTTTGCCATTAAGGCCTGCATCCACAGGCGACCAAAATCGACATGAATCATTGTGGAGAAGAAAATTAGAAGATGGCTTTCTAAAGCTCTCAAAGAAGTAAAAAATCTTAATCACTTTGCAGAATATGATCAAACAAACTGAGTTTTTTAGCTCTGTGGGTACATTAAATAAAATTGAATGGTTAAAGATGCAGGCAGACATAGAAGTCCATTCAGTTACACAACCCTTTTCTATTTCAAGTCTTTTTATTTAATTGGTCAGCAATTCTAACCCACTTCTCATACACTATTTAAACGTACCACACAGGGTAGCGTGAACATTTAAAGCACCCACAGAAGCACTCAAATAAGATCAGGAATCAAAGACTCAATAAAAAAATAAGGTAGAAGAAAGAAAAAAAAAAAAGGAAAGAAAAAAAAAAAGGGGGGGGGGGGGGGGGGGTTGAACAGTAATTAATCTAAAATGGTATCAGCTTTTACAATCAAACTCAAAGTGAAAGGACATACGTGTGGCTACTCAAAACATGCAATGGCGAACTCAGCTTTCGCACATCGAACAGACCAACAGTAGTATCAGAAGATGCTGTAGCCACAACCCACTCATTATATGGATTGAAAGATAAATAATTCACCTGAGAGCAAGGGATAAAATCTATTAGTAACAATCCGACAAAGTTTCTCCCACACAGACCAGACATATGAAACAGAGAGGATTGGTAGTTTCAAGATTATGAACGTAAATGAAGCTGGAAAATAGAACTAGCAAGTAAAAATTATGTGAAAAGAAAGCAGGTCTTTTTGGACCTAAAGGATTGGTTCATACACTCCATTAAGTTTATATTAAAAGGCAGCTCACTAACAGAGTGTTTTACAGTGGATAAGCACACAATTATTCTAATGCTATTCAAGAGACGATAATTAAGAAACAATATTAAGTATTTTCGTCAAGCATGTAAACACATCTTTAGTATTTAGTATAATTAAGAAACAAAAAAGAAACAATATTCAAGAGCGATATTCAAGAATTAAGAAACAATATTTATATAACAGAAACAAAAAAGAATGTAAGCACATCTTTAGTATTTTTGTCAAGCAATATTCAACAGATAGCGTAATCAAATTTTTCCATGAGGAACTAAATTTTGAAAATACATCTATACAGCTTTCTCCAGTTTCAAATCTCAACTAAACAGACTCCATATAGAAAAAAAAAAAAGCAAACTTTGATCTAAATTACTTCAGAGACAGAGAAGATCATGCCCTCAATTCTTACTAGCCTAAGAAGTAGCAGCATTCCACCGGGAAACTTAACAAAAGTGCAAGACATACAGAAATCCTTGCACTGCTTCAAAAGTGCAACAACAACTATGTTCATGCAGTATCTACCAATATGTTTTTAAGAGGAAAATACAGGTAGATGGTGAAACGCAAATGTGGTAGACACTACCCAGAAAAACAAAGAATACCGTTATGAATAGAGGGTTGAAAGATAAATATAGGGACCATGGGTACCATATCCCGAAAGTGCTTATGTTGAGAATAAAAACATCTTGTATTTATTCCAAGTTGGGAAATCCACAATATAGATCACAAATTCTCTATAGTTCATTCATAAGACACTCTGACATTTTATTCATTTATGGTGTTAATATTCTATTTTTCCCTCCCATAGAAAATGGCGTACATATACAACCAAAATTTCATCAAGATCCAACCCTCTGGTGGCCCCACCTTTGTCTCCTGTTTTTGTGATTCCGTTAGGTGTTTAAAGCTATCGAGTAAGCACAAAAGATGTTTGCTTTGGATTCGACTATAGTCTCAGATAGCCGCTACAAAAGCAGTAAAGTAACTAAAGTAACTCACAAGGTTCCATTTAACTTCCAAAATTAATTTAATGAAAAAAAAAATTCCGTGACAATGCATGGGTGGGGAACACACCAAATATGCTGAGACATACAACTCAAAAATCTATGCAAGTGTTTGCACAACACAAATGAAAGCTATATTTTCAATTTTTTGAATTTAGATTCTAGCACTGGAGTTTCACTGGTTGAAGAAAAA